GATTAGTATTTCACTCTGATTTTGGAGCAAACAAGCCCTAGAGGCTCTGGGCTTCACTGACCTGTCACTTGCCCTTCATTCTGGCTGCTTTCAAGCTCACGCCCACCTCCCAGTCTCATCATTCACATGAAATGAGACAGATGTTACTCCCACTAAAACTTTTCACTTCACAATTCTTTTTTTTTTTTTTCTCAATACTGGGGTTTGAACTCAGGGCCTCATGCCTACTAGGCAGGTACCCTACCACTTGAGTCACTCCTCCAGGCCCACAATTCTTGATATTGCTGAAATAGCTAAAAGTTATTTTAAGGGAGGATATGGCTACAGAAGAATGATTTCTGTACCACATAGTGGAATCCCTGGGGCAGGATGTTCCTTAAAGTGTTCCCAGCTTTGATGAACCATCATGGAGCCTCAGTTTCTTCATCTGTGAAATAGGGAAAAAAGAATCCACCTCCTAGGTTGCTGTAAAGATTCAGTAACACACTTAACATGGTATAATCACTAAAATGAAGGGTAGCTATTATCTCTGCAAATAGGAAAATTGTCAACACCAAACCTGCCACTGTCAACTGTGACTATTTCAAATGCCTTCCCTCCAAAAGATTAGGAGTGTGTATGTGTAATGGGTGTAGACAGATGGGAGCAAGGAGAATACCAGAGTAATGCCTTAGGCTAAAATGCCACCTGTGGAGTTAGCTTTTCGAGCTAGATACCACTCCGTGTATAGAAAGCAGAAGCAGGCTTTGGTCCCCAGTCTACTAACTCAAATTCCCCAAAACAGCAACTATGGAGACCCACTGGAGCCAGATGACTTTGCCTGTGGTTGGTGTGTCAAGGACTGGCCTAGTCCTCCTTGGAGTCTCAAAACCCGGGTTCTGTCAGGAACTAAGAGACATTACTCACATTCTGTTCTCTTCCTCTAGGCTTCCATTCAGCCCCCAAGGTACAGCTGTCTTGCTGCTGAGCAGGAGCTGCTGTCACAGCAGCTGAGGCAAAGGCAGCTGAGCAGAGGAGGGTGAAGGGCCATAGCCATTTCTGCTGCTCAGGACAGGCTTCTGGATGAACAGCTGTCAGGGTGGCTTCTGGATTACAGATTTTCTTCCCCACCCAATTAGCCCCATGCCCCCTTAGCCAACCTCCCTAATATACCAGGACTACCAGTCTTCCTTTTACATGACAAACCCATGATTTCAAACACCACCAAAGTACTCTGACAGAGCTGGGTATTATGGCAGGAAGATTGTGAATTAGAGGCCAGTCTGAGTTACACAGCAAGACCCTGTCTCAAAAAACAAAATAGAACAAAAAGTATGCTGATAGAAAGGTTTTATGTTGGAGATGGATTCCAGTCAGGGAACCAAGTAGCTTCTGAAAATACACCAGGAAGCCCAAAATGGATGTGGCAAGTTCTTCGCTATGTGAGATCACTCTGGGCAGAGCAAAAAACTAAGGAAGTTTGGCCTCAGTTCTGCTATCAAGTCCCAGACAAAGGAATAATATTTTCTGCCCTTATTTCATAGGCAGAAAGAATAATCTGCCTAGGTCTCACTGTGGTCAACTTAGCCACATTTGCCTCCAAATTAGTAAGTCATGGCCAGAGGTCACCAGCTTTCCATCCTGGTCTGAAATTGGCTGCCTGTTGTAGCTGGAGATGAGCAAGGTGCCATGCCATTTGATAGGGTAAGATGCCTACTTCTTAAGAAGCTGTGTAGTGGTGGGCCAAGCTACCATGAAAAGTCTCCCGAGGTGCCTTGCCCCATTTTCAACCACTGTTCTTCAAACAATTCCTTTTCCTTTCAGCTATGAGCCTCTTTACAAAGCAAGGGAAATGGGAGAAGAGGCAAAAACAGTATCTAGAGTTCCTTTGAGACAGCCCACAACCTAGGAATCTGTTACCATCCTCATAAATGCAGAGACTCCCCAGACTCTTCAGAGGCTTTGGGTTTTCTTTTGTAAACAAAGTAAACAAAACTTCCCTGGGGTTCAGGAGCCAACAGGAGGCTGACCATCCTGTCCCTTGGTCAAATAACACGTTACCCTAAAGACATTGAGGTCTGCTTCAGGTACCACCGAGATGGTCTCATCTGATTCCTGGTCTATTTTCCAGAGCTGATTTCTTGCATAATTGATAGATGCAGCAAGGAAGAACCATCTTGTTTCCTGGCAGCCTAAGAAGTCACATCCAAGAGTGAGTAGATCAGGTGCCTTGAAGACACAAGATCTTGGGGTTGCAGCAGCCCTGTCCATTAGAGGTGTTGTGTCCCCTTCCTCCCATAAAGAGCTGCTTTATTTCCAGAAACTCTCCAGGGCTGTGTGAGAAGACAACCAGCTCACCAGAGCACCTTCAAGATCTTCCTGTTGAGCATCTGCACACAAACACACACACAAATGCTTCCCTCAGTCCAGCACAATTTCCTCTAAGGAGAGTTCTACATCCTAGTTTCCCAATCCAAGGATGAGAAGCATCTGTCCACCTCACTCTTTAGACAAAAGGATCTTGAAGAGCCATTGGGAAGATTGACAGAAATGGGTTAAATCAGGCACCATTCTCAGCTGTGGAGCCAGAGATGCTTGTGAAGCTCAAAAACAAACTCTGCCTTCCACCAGCCAGGCACTGGGGCTGGGCCACCAGAGAATTCCTGCTGGGAATGGAATCTGGGACGGGGTGTATGGTCAACCATTCCCAGACCAGAGGAACTAAAGACCTTGGGTACCAGCACCTCAGGGTCTTCATTTTTGGACTGCCTGGAGGTCGTGCAACCTGGGGATGGGCTAGAGAAAGCCTAGCTCTTTCAAGTTTTTCAGTGCAACTGCCTGGCCCACCTCCATGTCACTCTACCTCCAGAGAAGGCCAACGGCCCAGCTGCCTCCTTCTTTAAAATCCCAGCTTCTGGGGAGCAGCTCTGCCGCGAAACAGGGCTGGAGAGCTGTAATTATCCAGACAGGATAAGAGCTATTTTGGGAAGAAGCCTTTCTGCTGCCAAGGCTTTTGACTTCCTAAACTAAAACAAGATGCACAGAAAAAGGGGGTGAGGTTGGGGGAGGACAGGGAGGAGCCTGCTCAGTCACAAACATCAAATCTTATACAAAGGGAAATAGCACCTCTTCCCAATGGTATAGATTTGTATTAATTGGTGAGCAAGAGGCTAGATATTAAGACATCTCCCCCTGGCTTTGGGAAGGAGGTATAACTGAACCCCCTACCCACCTCCTGCTGACTCCCGCTTTCCTAAGACCCTCCAAGAGCACTCATTCAATTTGTTCTGTTTATTGTGACATTTAAGCACAGGCTATTGCATATTGTTTAAGTGTTTCTTGCCCATGTCTTATCTCCCTATTCAGATGGTCAGTTTCTCAAGGCCAAAGAATGTGTGTTGTGAGGCTTCCTGAAATAGTGCCTAGCAGAGGGCTACACATCTGAATAAAAACTGTCTACAGAAGAAGGAAGGAAGGAAGGAAGGAAGGAAGGAAGGAAGGAAGGGAGGGAGGGAGGGAGGGAGGGAGGGAGGAAGAGGGAAGAGGAGGGATTTACTGTTTTGCATGGACATAATCTCTAAAATCTGTGGCTGCTCCCACCTACAGCTGAGTTTAGGACCTGGCGCTGGATAAGAACTCATGGCTGAGGGGGTGGCAGCTACATTCCTGGACACCTCCCCTTCAGCTGTTCTGTTATCTGAGCTCAGGCTGTCCTCTACTCACTTGTTTTCCATCTGTAATCAACTGTTCATCCTGGGTCAGACAGCATGGAGGGGACCCATTAGAAGCTATAGATAGTCCTTGGGTAAGAAAGGAATAAGGTAAAAGAAAGAATGGAAGCAGGAAGAGTTCTGACCATCTTATCAAAACATGGGCCAAGAAGAGTCAAAATACTTATATGCACTGTGAAATCAGGACACTAACTAAATTTAGGACACAGGGCTGCTAAGAGCAGTATCTACCTTATACTTTCTCAAGTTGAGAACCCAAATAGTGTGTAACCCAGAAAAGCGACCCCTTTCTAGAGTCCCTCAGGCAGGAGAGGGAGAACCAGGTAGGGACTAATCCAACCCAGTCTTCCCACACAGCACTTGGCAAGATTCATCATCTACCAAAAGATCACTATTCTTTCTCTGCAGGGCTGCAACTAGCTCCTATTGCACTTTGTGCAAATCTTCTGAGGAAATGTGCTGTTATAGGTACAGCTAGACAAATGAAACACAGGCACCCTTATGCAGCGAACAACCTGCCCAACCACAGGGAACATCTCTGTCTCCCTCCACACCCTCTTCCATCAGAGGACAGGAGCGAGACTTGGATAAGATGATAAGGCAAAGGAAGACTGACAGCACCTCCCAGGAGTATTCTTACCTCCTCATCTGTCATAACAAAGGAGTAGAAGCCAGGCATTCCCAGGGGGCAGCAAATGGAATTCAGAGAGTGCCAACAGGAGGGGAAAAAGAGAATGTTACTAAAGATGCCCAGCAGATATGGGCATAACCTGGCCCATATACCTTCCTAATACAAGTGGCCGAAAGAACGGCATTTACTGAGTACTCAGTGTTACCAAGTACCATGCTAAATGCTTCACATGTAATAGTTTGGTTAATTCTCCCAGTAATATAAGAGGAAGCCATTATTCCCATAAAACAGATGGGGAAACTGAGACTCGGGGAGGTAAAGTAATTTACCCAAGGTCATAGGCAATAGTGGACCCAGCAGCAAGACAATTCCAGAATCCACTTACACTCCTACTTTACAGAGCTTTGCTCCCTCTGAGGAGCAGGGCTGCCCTTCTCTGTCTTTGCTATCCATCACTTGGAGGGCTCATGCTGGTTGGACCTATGAATGGGAGGATTTGGGATTGGATTGCATTCGCAGGGCTCTCTTCTCACCTGGAACTTCATCCAGAGCCCTGTCTTCTGTCATGTTCATTGAACTAGAACTTATTTGGGGCCACAATGCTCATAGCAACTCCCTGCTGTCAAGATTCACTGTATGAGGTATGGTCCCACCCTCCCCTACCACTGTAGTGGTCAAGGATATAAAGGGAGAAGAGGGGTCATGAGGTCCTAAGGACACTTAAGGATTCCAGAGTTGACAGCAAGACCATTAGTGGCCTCAAGGGAGAAGCCTGTACATCCCTGGAGATCTTACCTGGGCAGCAGCCATTAAATATGTCCCAAGGTCAAAGGGTAGGGACTTGAGAAGGTTCTAGGAGCCAGAGAGACACGAGAGGAGCCATGAACCTGAATTAGTGTGGAGTTGGCCCTTGGCAAGATTGTGAAGCAGGTAGCTTTCTTTGGTGAATTTTTTTTTATACCAAATGATAAGTAATACCAGCTAAGTTGAAAGGCTATGGGGCTTAAATTGCTCTCTTTTCTAGAAGTGACTTCTCCTTAAAAGGAGACTCTTGAAAAAAGTTCCAGTTTCCAAAATGATTCTAATTGTGGAATTTTAGGCAAGAGACAAGTGCCTCTACTCCTTCATGTACTCTCCTAAAAGACCACCCTCTCACCTGTCCTCCCAACCCTAACTCTCTACAATGGACACACAGGAGGGAAAAACACAGACCTTTTAGCCACCAGATGATTCGATTTTGCATTTCCTCAGAGACATCTGAAATCAACAGAGAGATGTTGCTTTTTTCCATCTGCGGGATGACACCCCTCCTCCTGCCACTTACATCTCCCTTTGTAGCTAGCTCCATATGCCTCCACCGAAAGGAGCCCTCAGCCCTTGAGCCTTTCTCAAAGTTCTTCCAGCCACATTCCCACTCTCCTTCGCCCTTTTTTCCACCCTCTGTGACACTATTAATGCCTTCCTTCTCCTGGAGTCCCAAGTCCCAGTTCATCTGTGCTCCACCTATTATACTTTGCTGCTAGAATATTTTACCCAAGGTCCTTATTCTTTTTAATAGCCCTTACTGCTCCTCAAACTAGCTCAGTCCTTCATTTGTATAGAGCTCAGAAATCAGTCATTGACATCATTTTTTAGAACTCAGAGAAGCTGGTAGGAAAGGCAGGGAGCACTGGGCTCAAGCATAGAACTGGTAGGAGGGTAGCCCTGAGGCCCAGAAAAAAGATGGGTCCCTTCTTGCCCACCCCAATATCCCATCTCACTAAATCAAGGCAGCATGCACCTGGACAGTCTGCTTCTTCACATACCCAGGAAGAAAGCATTAAACCCTTGAATGAGTTGTTTGTTGATATGCTTGGCATCCTGTGGCACTTCTTTCAATGCTTCCTGGCATGGAGACTCCTTTGGTGATGGTGGTGTGCTTGCCTTCTCTCTCTGGAAAATCAGGTCCTCATAGAAAGGGTTTGTGTCTACTTCATAAAAGGACAGTACAGGGTCGAGGGGAGGAGGAGACTTAAGCTCAAAATCAGGTGTTGTTGGCCGGCTTTGGGGCATTTCAACTTCAGGATTCAGTAAAGCCCACCATGAGCAGTCAGGCCCATACCTAGGTAAGGACCGAGGGGGTAAAGGCCGAGGGGTCAGTTCTAGTTCTGCATGGATGGAGGGTTTTTGGGAGGGTTCTAAGTTTGTGAGTGATTTGTTGGGGCCCTCAGGCACTGTTCTAGTTGTCACACGCTGAGCTGACTGTCCTGCTGTGGAGATAGTGACTCTGCGGCCACCCTCGCTGTCTCGTACTTGGGACTTCATGTTAGACTCCGTCTCTGACATTAAGACCTTTGAGAAGGGCTTGGTCTCACTATAGACAGAATGTTTGTGGAGAGACTCAGGCTCTGAACACGCAGGAACTTGGTGCCCAGTATCTAAATCTTTAAGGACAGAGAGTTTGAGAGCTGTGGCCAATTTCATATTTCTAGTCCAGGGCTTGGGTTCTGAAGGAACTGAACTATGAGGACCTGCTTCTGACTCTTGGCCAGGGATCCGTCTATGGACTGTCCGATGGTCTGCAGAGACTCTGTTGCTATTGTACTCTGAGTTAGAGGGATTCGTTGAAGATTTGACCTCACTAGTAGTTGAAGTTCTTGGGATGGGATCTGTTTGTACTGCTTCATCCTTTGGGTGAACTGAAACCCTACGAGGAACTCTGACCCCCTGGGGGTTCTGGATCTTGGAGGGTGGGTCTTCTTCTTGTAAGTTTTGTAAATGCAAGCTATCCTTCTCATCTATAAAACTCAAGCGACGGGAAGATTTGGCATCTGGAAATGAGACCCGATGGCTAACCTCACGCCCTGGCTTGTTCTCACTACTTTTTCGTGTTGCTTCCTCTCTGACTGGACTAACATTCCGATGTGTGTTAATGGCATGGAAAGCTGACATCTGAGATGGCTGGCTCTTTCGATGAGGAGAGGATTGGCGAGGTGCCTCTGTTCTTGATTGGGTCTCAGTCCCCTTTGCAGCAGATGCTGTAGAGAGGCCAGGCCCTGATCCTAGTGACAGAGATCGAGGATAGTATGATGATGAATGGGAAGTGGTGGGAAATGCAGCTTCTGTTCTTCGCTGGAGAGAAGGACTCATGGAGACAGCAGTAGTTTGCTGGCTTGAAGCAACAACGTACCCATGTCCCCGTTGAGTGGAGCTAGGAACATCAGTTCCTCTATGTGCTGCAACTGCTACTTTGGCCCCAGTTTTATTTGTCTTGGCCACCTGAAAGGCTACAGGCTTCTGGGTAGATGCCATATTTGATCAGCTGTCTTGTCTTCGGGATCCTAATGAAGCCAGAATATTTATCCTCATTTTTTAAAGCTGCTGTTCTTGGGCTCCCACAAAAGTGACTGTTGTTCTAAGAGTGTCTCCAACAGTTCCCTTAGCTACCGCTCTACCTGATGATGTCATAAAGGAAGGAGCTTCCTATTAAACATCCTGTTGCACAGCCACAATTCTTCAAAGAAACCTAAGCAGTATGCAAAAGAAAATTGAATTTATCTTTGGACTTGACACTACCAAGTCTTTGGCCTAGTTCTTAACACACTCAGGATTTCCTTTTATGTAGGGAAGGCTCCAGACCCTTCCATACCTTCTCTAGGTTCTAGGAATTCTCAGACTCGTTAAGAGAAGAAATCAGCCAGAAGATTCTAGGAGGGTAAGCTACTCAAAGCCAATCACACCGTGAAAGCCTCAGATTTAATGAGGTACCTTGTACTGTATAAAGTTGCCTTGATTTTGTTTGAAACTATATTATACACAAGTCAAAAGATAAGCTCCAGCCTTTTCCAGGTGTGATTCATGGGTGGTGTGGTTGGCTTTGGGGTGAAAATCTAGGTAACTCAAATTATAAATTCTCATATTCTTGGTCCAGGAGGATGTAATCCCATAGGAGAGAAATAGTTAGTATTGGTTTTGGTCATAAATGGCTAGTTGTACACCTCTGACAAGTTACCTGACTTACCTGAGTTTTAGCTTCAATCTGGAAACCACTGCCTAGTACACAGGTATCACACAATAAGCGTAGTGTCCTTTTCTCATGATCTCTTCTGTCAGCAATCAGCAAATAGGACTCTTGCTCTGTTTTTTGATACAGGGTCTTGGTAAGTAGTCTAGGTTGCCTCAAACTCATGGTTTCATGATTCTCCTGCCTCAGTCTCCCAAGTGCTAAGATTACAGGTATACACCACCACACTGGTCATCTGATTTTCTCTTGAAGAGTGACTTTCCAATTTGGATAAGAAACAGACTCTGTTACTTTTCTCTCCATTTTACTACTTTTTCTTTCAGTCATAGACCTTACCATAGCCAATATTTTATCACTAACTCTTAAGGGTCATTGAAGTTAGAGGTGGTCAACCTCATTTTTCTTTCTTTTGTTGTTGTTGTTGAGACGATCTTACTATGTAACCCAGGCTAACCTCTAACTCTCCCAATGCTTCCGCCTCACTGCGTCAGCCTCCCCAGTCCTGGCGTGCACCGCCATGCCCAACTTCAGTCTCACTTTCCTATGTGCTATACTGATCATTCTCTTCTGTTAAACAGTTTTTCTTCAAATGAGTTATTATGAAGTTGATTAGGTTTGTGCCTAATTATAATGACGTTCTAGTTCTGCCAGGAGTTTTATTCTAGTTTTAAGTTTTAAGTATTTTTAAACCCTTTTATTCCTCCAAATTAAAAAAACTTTCTAAAGAATTATAAAAAGTCGAGAGCCAAATGAGGTGGCTCATATCTGTAATCTCAGCTACTAGGGGGCAAAGATCAAGAGGATCATGGTTGGAGACCAACCTGGGCAAAAAGTTGGCGGGATCCTCTCAATCAGTCAGGTATAATGATACACACCTGTAATGTGGGAGGTGTAGATAGAAGGATCACAGCTTGAGGCTGGCCCCAAGTAAAAACTTGAGAAAAATAACTAAAGCAAAAGGGAGCTGGAGTGCTAGAGTGCCTTCCTAGCAAGCACAAGGCCCTGAGTTCAAACCCCAGTACTGCCAAAAAAAAAAAAAAGTAAAGTGGCTCAGGAGGCAGAGGTAAGGAGGATCAGGAGTTCAAGGCTAGCCTGGGCTACAGAACAAGATCTTGTCTCATGCTTGCTAGGCAGGTGCTTTACCACTTGAGCCACCCCACCAGCCCTTCATGTATCTTTTACCATATGTAGACATTTACTTATAAATTTAAAATAAATAGGGTCCTATTACATCTGCTGAATATAACTACTAGCATTATTTTATATGACACACTTTTCTGTGTCAATAAATCCATACCTATAATTTCTAATTAATCCACTTATGGTTCTTCCATAATTTTTAAACCAATCCTTCTTTGCTAGACACTTGAGTTGTTTCCAATTTTTTAATATTATAAGCAATGTTGGAATAATCATTTTATGTAATTACATCTTTGTGTACAATCTAATTTTCTCTTTAGGGCAATAGTTCTTAATTCTGGTTCACAGGAGAGCTTTTCAAATCCCATGCTGTACCTCAAATGAAATAAATTAGATAATTTGGGAGTAAGGCCTACGCATCAGGATTTGTTAAAAACTCCTCAGATTGTTTGAATGTTCAATCAGGGGCTAAGGCCCACTGCTTTAAGATAAAGCCCTCTAAATCCTCTCGATTCAAAGTGTGGTAATGGGTCAGCAGGACAAGCCCTACCTTGTTAGAGGATTTGGATGCTACCTCACGCTTACCAATCAGAACATGTATTTTAGGTAATTCTCGGGTATTACAAAATTTGTGAAGCACTGGTCTGAATGGAATCTCTAGGTCAAAAATACTCTTATTTAACATACATACTGATAAATATCCTTGTAGATAAGCGGTACTAATTTACACCCTCAGCACAGTGAATGAAGATGTTTGTAGAGATACTTTTCCTCTTTAGTTTGGTGAAAAATAATATTCTGGTTTTTGTTTGCTTGTTTTTGTTGTTGAGACAGGGTCTCTCTAGCATGGACTGGTCTTTTTTTTTTTTTTTTTTTGGTGGGACTGGGGTTTGAACTTAGGGCTTCGTGCTTACAAAGCATGTGCTCTATCTACTGCTTGAGCCACATGTTTGTTCTGGTTATTTTTGGAGATGGGGTCTTGTGAACTGTTTGCCTGGGCTGGCCTCTAACTGCAATCCTCCTGATCTCAATCTTCCAAGTAGCTAGGATTATAGGCGTGAGCTACTGGTACCTGGCCTCAGGTTGGTCTTGATCCTCCTGCCTCAGCATCCCTAGTGCTAGGATTACAGGCATGTGGCATCATTTCCAACTTAAATCCCTCTTCTTTGTGCTTCTTTTTCAGTATTGTTTCAGTCATAGGGTTCTTTAATTTTACTCTACTATTGTCTTAATCTCTTTAGTGTTACCATAATAAAATATCTGAAGCCAGGTACTGTTTGAAGAAAAGAGGTTTATTTTATCTTACAGTTTTGGAGGTCTAAGCATGGGACTGGCATCAGCTTCTTAGGCCATGTGGGTAGCATCACACAGGGGCACATGCAGGAGTGAGCAAGAGAAAGAGAGATTGCCAAGAAAGCTTTGTAACAATCTGCTCTGGCATAACCAATCCAGGCTCTCAAGACCTACTCCACTCCAGGAGATGGATCTTTTCTAAAGACGGTGCCCCTAATGACCTAGTCACGTCCCAGTAGGCCCCACATCTTAAAGGTCCTACCACTTCTCAATACCATTACATGAGAGCGCCGAGGATGTGGCTCAGAAGGTAGAGTACCTGCTTAGCAAGTGTGAGGTCCTGAGTTCACTCCCCAGTACTGCCAGATAAATGGCAAATAAATAAATAACCAGGCAAATCCAATACCATTACATTAAGGACTAACCCTCCAGTACATGAACCCTTTGGGGGACAAACCATATCCAAAGCATAGCAACTATACAACTAATATTATTCAGCAGAGAGAGCACGAGAGAAAGTTGACTTAAGTTATTTAGTTTCCAGAGGACCACCTTATTTGTAAGCTCTTGTGGGGCACCTCACCCTTTTCTAACCCCAAGCATATAAGCAAATAACATTACTATTAGTATTCATAAGAGGGCCAAAAGTAATATACTTGGGGAAAAACAACCAAAATTTCATCTGGAAATCCCTAATAATACAAATTTTCCAAAGGATCTTTACTAATTTCATCAAATAGCAAGGCAATATTTATTAATCATCTACCTTGTGTCTGGAACAAGTTACACATTCTGTGTGATGGCCCATTATGAGGAAAACTGAAAGAATCAGTATGTTCCAAAAACTTGGTGCCAAGCCCACAGAATAGATGTGGAGTCAGTTATGGGGTTTTAACCTGAAGTTCGCTCTTGTTGCCTTTTCATAATCCTCAAACTTTGCTCAGAACACTCTTAAACTACAGACTTGGGGCAGCTACTGTGTCTTCTATAAGTATGCAAATATGTTTGCTGTTGTATGATCCTGGGAGGGTCATGGAACCCTCTTTAAGCAGCCTTCTCTTTTGTAAGCAGGATAATAATAGCTAACTTTAAGAGATGTGAACATTAAAAATAATTGCTCAGTTAACAAATATTTGCTGAGCACCTTCCTGTAAATGCAGGTTGAAGGATATGGGAATACCTCAGTGAACAACCCAAACAAGATGTGTGGAAGGCAAGTAGAATTCTATGAGAGAGTCTTACAGAGAGTCCTAATAGTCTAAGGTTCAGGGATTTTAGAAGACTCACTGAGGAAGTTTAAGCTGAGAACCAAATAATGAGGTGGATAGTTGAAGAAAAGCATTTTGGGCAAGAATAGTGTATGCCACAATGTATGTGCCACAACTGAGAGAAATAGTTTTCTTTTTTGGCAGTACTGGGGTCTGAACTCAGGGCCTCAGGCTTGCTAGGCAGGTGCTTTACCACTTGAACCACTCCATTAGGACTTTTTTTTGGGGGGGGGATGTTGGATATTTTTGATATGGCCTTACTTTTGTTGTCTTGCTGGCCTCAAACCTTAACATTCCTGATTTCTGCCTCCTGAATAGTGAGCATTAAACATGAGCCACCATCATTTGGCTGAAATCCAGTATTTATAAGTGCAATGGGCAAAGATCTGAGTAAGATGAAATGATTTTTTTGCATGGTAAAAAGATCATTGTGGAGAAAAAAAATTTAAGAGTACTAAGAAATCTTTTTAAAAATGTAATTAGTTTACTCCACTTTCTACTCCCTTTCTTAGAACCGTCCACTGGATTCCCAATTTTTGCCATGGTCTATAATCCCCTTGCTCAGTCTCCAGCCTCACTTACCTCCTGCAGCTTCCCCATAGTTACACCACACTGAACTTTTGTTGCTGCAATTTGACGTTTCCCCATCACAGGGCCTTTGTACTTGGCTGCTACTGCCCTTGCTTAGATGCTCATCTCCAGTCACAAAACTGGCTCCTTCCCATCACACCAACCAAATCTGCTCAAAGGTTACTTTTTCAGAGCAGCTTCCCTTGAATACTCTATCTGATATTAAGTTGCCTCCCCCACATACAATTTTTTTTTTGTTGGTAGTGGGATTGAGCTCAGAGCATTACACTTGCTGGGCACTCTACCACTTGAGCCACTCCACCAGCCCCCCACAAGCAATTATTATCACTTAAGCCTATTTATTGTCTTCACAGCATTTACCACTACTACCATTTGTTTATTTAATAACTAGGTAAACTCCAGGACAACAGGGCCTCTGCTTTGTTCACTATTTTTGGGCCTCTGTTTTGCCCCAGCACCTACGGCAGTGCCTGGCATATAGCAGTCATTCAAAAATGTTTGTGACATGTGGGACTGCATTGAAGAGACCACTTGAGGAAGTTGTTGCAGTGGTCCAGGTTAAGAGTTACTGGTGGCCTGGATGAAAACAGTAGCAAAAGAAATGGAGAGAAATGGGAATAAGGGATATATATTTTGGAGGTTGAAACAAATTAGTCTTAATGATTAATTTTTTTATAATGAGGAGTAAAGGAATGGGAAAGACAAGGATGGTTTCTGGTGTGTGGCTAACTGGACAGTAACACATTGACTGGAAGGGAGAGGTGGAAGTGGATGAAGTTAAGACTATGAGTTCAGTATTGGGTAGGTCAGTAAGATACCCGAAAGGAATCCAAGTGGATTACTTTCTATCCTTTGGGTAGATATATGAACACAGAGCACAGGCCAGGTCATAGACTCACAATACAAATCTGGGATAGTTAGTGCATAGATGATACCTGAAGCCATGGAAATGAACTAGTTTACTTAGGAGAAAACTTGCAGTGAGAAAATATACAGGTGGAGCCTCTAAAGGAGGCTGAGGTGGAGTAACTAGAGATAGAAGGTAAACGAGATTATAACATCAAGGAAGCCAGGGAATAGGCTGAAAGAACAATTAACAATGGGGCCAAAGTGACCATGAGATTTAAGAAGTCACTGTGACCTGAGTAACTGCTAGAGAATGGAGAGAGCAGAATTTTGTCTTTTTCTTTTGGTGCTGAGATCAAACCCAGGGCCTCGCGCATGCTAGGCAAGCACTGTACCACCGAGCTACATCCCAACCCTAGAGAGAGCAGAATTCAGATTCTAGTGTCTGAAGGAGAGAGTAGGAGGTGAGGTACTAAAGACAGATATAGACAAATGTTTCAAGAACTACCGTGGGAGAAGGCTGGAGTGGCTAGAAAGACAGGTGGTATGCTACCAGGAAATACTACCAGCCAGGCAGTCTCAGCTGGCTGACCTTCATTTCACAATCCTCCTACCTTAGCCTCCCAAGAGCCAGGATCACAGATATGCACCACCAATGTCCAGCTCAGGGGATACTTTTTTTTTTTTGGCAGTATTGGAGCTTGAACTCAGGGCCTCACACTTGCTAGGCAGGTGGTCTACCACTTGAGCCACTCCACCTGCCCTATTTTCAAAATAGTGTCTCACAAACTATTTTCCTGAGCTGGCCTTGAATCACAATCCTCCTGATCTCTGCCTTTGGTGTAGCTATGATTATAGGCATGAGCCATCAGTGCTAAGCTCAGGGGATGATTTTAAAGATAGAAAAATCCAAGTGCGTTCATTCTTATGAAAAGGAGCTAGTAAACAAGAGTTAAGAAGAAAAAAAAGGAGAGGAGTTGAAGCTACTGAAAAGAGAGATGCTAACTTGAGAAGGAAAACCCTGAGTGAAGAGATGATATAGGCCTAAGACAGGAAGAGGGATACCTCCTTTAGTATAACAAGAAGGAAAGTGGAGAGAAGAGGAGCAGAATAGGTCCACCTCTAGTTCAGGGTATACTTCATCTACAAGTGTCCTTCTGTTCTACAGAGATAAATGTGGTCATGTTAGGAGTGCTGGTGGTGGGAAGCTGAATTAATTACCACTGATGCCTTCTATTTTTGCTGTAAAGTTAGAGGTAAAGTCATATGTTGAGTGTTAATGGGAAATGAGGGATGTTTGAAATAGCTTATGAGATCAGCAGAAAGAAAAACCCTAATGAAAGTGGGGCTGCTGTGTGCAAGAAAAGGATTAATGTATATAAAGTACATGGCACATAATAGTTGCTCTATAACTAATAAAACAGTATCTACCAACATTTAATGCTGACTAAAGTTGCACTTTAGTCACTGACCAGATAGAAGAGTCTATTCTGTAGATAGTTTACAACCCTTATCAGGAGGAGTTGGTATAGGTCCTGTAGCCTTAATGCATACTAATAGATAATGCACAATTTATCATGATGCATCTGCTATTAAGTCCTTACATTTTTATGTATGTTAGTTTTGGCTCACAAGTAGAATAACTTTTTTGACAGAAAGAATGTGTCTTTATCCCTCAAAATTCCTTACACATAGTATTGTCTATAAACTAATTTGTTTTCTGGTGGTTTTCCTCTGATTACAATTGTTTGCTTTAAGACAGCCAAACACCATTGCACTCTGGATGTTCTGACCCCTGCAATTTCCCCAAATGTGGGAAACTCGACTGCATAGTTTGTGGTAGTGGGGGACTGCGTTCACGCTCTCCCCTTAAAAAAAAAAAAAAAGATAGCCAAACAAATTTGTACCTTCCATTTTATCTGTGCAAGGTCATATTCTGGGGACTAAAAAGTATGCATATGACCATCCACATCAGGAATTACTCAGTTTTCACAAACAGAAGACCCACTTACTCACCAAGATAAAATAAAATGCTAGCTAGCTAGTACTGCATAGCTGCACATAGCTTCCAAGAAAAAATTTCTATTCATATGTGAAGATTATAAACTGGAAGTAATTTAGGACATCAATGCTCTAAAAACCCAGCTAGATACATATATGTATCTGGTCAGTAGTCACAAGAGGCTAAATTAGAAAATGTTGTGATCTTAGTCTCACCAAAATTTCATTCTTTTAAATCATTAATAATGTGAGATGTACAAATCCATTATCTCCAAAATACATGGAAACAATGTTGTTTCACTTAAAGAGTTCAAAACACCTTGGGATTTTATTGCTGTCTCCTACTAGGCTGATTCTACCTCCAAAAGAAATATGGCAATACCACAAAGAGGTTGGGAGGTATTTCTGTTATAAAACAAAGATGACTGGTGCAGTTTGTATGATGGGTGGTAGCAGAAGCTGTCGATATATCAACCTTGTAACAAAAATTGAAGTGCCTTTGGGTAGCAGTTTCTCTCTCCCGACTTCCAAACTCACACACAGAAATAAATCTTACACAGCTGGGACCTAATGTATTAAAATTAAACATTTTATTATGTAACAAGAGTTAAAAGTTTCTAAAAATTTACATCAACAAAACCAAAAGCCACTCTGAGCACAATGAGAAACTTTTACAATTACAGCTACCGTGTCCTTTTCAGAAATCTGATTGAAAACAAATGGTGCCACCCATAGAAAGGGCCGAATCATTATGTCTACAGTAGCAGCTGAACAAAGTGTGAGTTACAGAACTGGAACCACTGCCTTGAGCAACTGAAGCAGATGAGAGAAGAAAGGAGGTCACAACCAGGATGCTCAAACTTAGGTTGGAATCCATCTATGATCCAGGTCCATTCAGTCCATTAAGTCACTCTGATCCAGAACGATTATCCTGTGTGCATGTGTTTTAAAGAACAAAAAAGGGAGTTGTGAGTTGATAGGTGCTTTTTAAGATTTTTATGCAGTGCTGGTGATTGAACCCAGGGTTTTACACACATAAGCAAGTGTTCCACCAATGAGTTATGCCCCCAAACCAAAATGTATTTCTTTTAAAAGACACAACTATCCTCTTTCTGTTCAACTGAATTCAAGGGGAAAGGGATATTGGTGTTTATAATTTCTGTATTGTACATCATAGAAATGCAAAATGACTGCAAAGCAATTGACAGCAGCATCTTCTGTACTCCCTCTGTATAAAAACCATTCTTGTGCTGACTCACCACTTATTTTGTCAAAGTTGGCATTAATTTCACCTTATGTTTTAATTAACTATGAACATATAACTATAAGTTGAGCAACTTGTTCTGAATTAATTTTTATTTAGACATGGTAAATGTTATCTAAACACTGAATTGACCTACGAACATATCTCATTACCTGGATGGTTCAGACCAACCTAGTCGCTTCCAAAAACAGGGTTTTAGTTCATCTTGATGAAATATAACAGGAAGAAGAAAACAACTTGATTACTTTTTAGGTCAAAGAGTGTCAGAATTCAGAATTCACATTAGTGTTCTCTATTTAGTGTACTCTTTTTAATGTCAACAGTTTTTCTATTCTGAAGAGAATTTTCCTAGAAACACAGTAATGGGTTCCTCCCCTAAAATTCTACAGTCCCCTGCCACAGCATTGGACACTAATGCCATTAATTCATACAGTTCCTGCATTATACCTTCACAAAGTCCTTGAATTATCTTCACAGTGAATTCAGTCCTAGCTAAATGCCCATAAACTCTGGGCCCCGTGCCAGTCAGTGTTCTGGAAGAACCAAAATGTACTCACGGCTAGTAAATATGAAGATTATTCAATGAAGTGACTATATACAGAGGTTCAGTTAAAGGGAACAAACAAGGAGTGGCAAGGCATCCCATGACTAAACATCACTGAGAAGACTAAGTCTTAAGGCACCGAGGGGTAGGGATGGGAGGACTGTTATTGAAACCTAGAGGAGACAGCAAGGACTGGCAAGGACAGGTTGCCTCATAAAAGCTGTGCTCTGGAGGAACACCATTTCTACAGGCACAAAGGTGCTCAAGCAGGCAGGGAGGGGAAAGAATACCCTAACCATTCTCCTGCCCTCTGATCTGCCAGAGCCTCCTGTTAGCCCATAGAAAGCCAGGGCAGCAGTCCACTAGGGTCAGCATTTGGGGCACAAATCTGGGCAAAGAAAGGAGGGGAATGAGTAGAATGAGCTTAAACATAGGAGGGCATCATTTGTAAATGGCGTATCAGAAGTCTAAAGCTCTACCAAAATAGCTTTGAAATTAAGGTTAATTTGTAACTTTCACATTCTTTGTAAGCACCATTTCAATTCCATAATGTGTGATTTCTTATTGGATTCTGCAGCATCCATGTGAGCTAAATTTAAAACTCTTTTGAAGATGTCAGACTGTTAGAAGGAAAACATCTCTCCAGACAATGTACCAGATAATGATGGTAAGACTGGCTGATGGCTTATTTTAGAAAGAGAATGTTATTGTTTTGTGATTGAGATATAATTGGCAATTAACAGAAAATCTGGGCTGAACTGCAGGGAAAAAGAAATTACCAAAGGTAGGAAGATTATACATAGCATGTGGGAAACATTTATTAATCATTTTGATGCTCAGCAAAGCCCTAGGACTGCAGACTACATTATAACAATCATTCATACATACCTTCTTCCGAAGTCCCTAAAAAGCTCTCTGATTTTCTTCTTTCTGTTTTGATGCTTTCTTTCATTATTCCCTTCTTTTCATTAACTTCTTGATCTTTGGTTGTCTCCCTTTAATAACAATGATTTGGGGCATTAACACCACTTTCCTCATAATAGAGACCAGGACTGTGTTCCAAAGGAAAAATACAGTAGTTATTACCACTATTAGGGAGGTCTCTATGGGCTGGCTGTTGGTTTAAGTGCTGTGATGGATGCTAACTCCTTACAACTATATGAAGTAATTACCCCTGCCATCCCTACTAGGGGATGAGAAAACTAACACATCAGAGAAGTTATACACTTAGTAAGTTATAGAGTTAGTATCGGACCCAGATAGCCTACCTAATCAGACTCTGCTATATAGCCAGCCTCAAATAGCAACTAGTCTCAAGTAAAAAAAAAATTAAAAACCAAAAAATGCATTTTACTTAAGTTGTAATTTGGTATTATTTTCAAAATCACCTTTTTACCTTCATTTCCTTAGACTCCTTCTGATATGAAATGTCTAAGTAGTTAAAGTATCTCAGTTTACCACATTTACTAAACTACTAAGCAGAAGCCATCTCCTCCATTTAAGCTCCTTAACAACAGAGATGTCTATCCCCCTTGTGCACCTCCAGCCCCAGCACAGTGCTCACTGTCAGTGCTCAAGAGTTCTGTCTGAACCAAAATAACACTGTTTAGGAATTCTTATTTTCATTTGGTCAGATGGACAAAGCAAAATGTGTAGCTGGATGCCGGTAGCTAACACCTATAATCCTAGGAGGCAGAGAATCAGAAGGATCATGGTTTGAAGCCAGCCTGGGCAACTCTTTCTTGAGATCCTATCTTGAAAGAACCCATCACAAAAACAGGGCTGGTAGAGTGGCTCAAGGTATAGGCCCTGAATTCAAACCCCAGTACCACAAAAAAAAAAAAAAATTGTAAAATGAGAGGGGCTGGAGCTATAGGTGAGTGGCATTGTATAGCATGACAAGGCCCTGGGTTCAAACCCCAGCAGCACAAAGAGGAAGGAGGAGAGAAGGGAGAAAAAGAGGAGGAAAGGGGGGAAGAGGGAGAGGGAGAGGAAGAGAGAGAGAGAGAGAGAGAGAGAGAGAGAGAGAGAGAGAGAGAGAGAGAGAGAGAGAGAGAATTAGGGTGAAAAGGAATTCCTTTCCTCTTAACTTCCATTAATACAATCCACATGCGAAAGAGTGAGAGGAGGCCTTTGGGTTATCTTTTATCTCTGTCCAAATGCCCAGGACCAGCGAGTCAATCAGCCTCTACCTGAGCAGAAATAAGTGGAAAGACAGTTGTTTCCCCTATGTGATACTCATAACCATTAGAAAGTTTGTGCTTTACTGAACAAAAATCTGTTACTCTGCAATTTCTAGTCACTAGGTCTGTCCTCGGGAGAAGAGTGTATGTTGACTCTCTTCACTTTCAGTGTTTCAGATATTTGAGGACAGCTATCAAATTCTCCAGTCTGTCTGCTCTTCTCAGGGTGAGCTTCTCTGGCTCCTCAGCTGTTCTCACATGACTGGGTTTCTAGACTTGTGACTGTTCTGTGCCAACTCTCCTGTTTGCTAATGTCTATTTTAAAATGTTTGTTTGCTTTTTGTAGTTCTAGGGATTGAATTAAGCCATATCCATTTAAAACTGTGACGTCTAGAAGAAGCCCCACATTGTGTCCTAGGAGTCCTCTAAACAGCACATTACCTGTGTTATACAACCCTTGATCTGGGCAGTACCTTTCTGTCTATCCAGCATTAATGTTGCATTGATCTTATCAGCAACTATATCAATCTGAGGCCTCATAGAATTGTGCCCATGCTTTCTTCAAGAATTTCTTGAATTCTTACTATGTCTCAAGATGCATGCTAAGTACTGGGCATATGAAAATACAATTTCCTGTCTTCAATGAATTACGGTAAATAGGGGCTTGCAGTAAAAAATTCTCCAGTCAGGCTGGGTGTCCCACATTCTATGCTTTTGGATCTAAAATTTTCCAATATTTTACCTGTATTTATTCATATTTTTCTGACATGAGATCGCTCCTATATTGCCCAGGCTGAACTCAAACTCCTGGGCTCAAGCAGTCCTCTAACTTGAGCCTTCTAAGTAGCTGAGACTATAGGTGTGTACTACCACACCTGGCTTTACCTCTATGTTTTATAGTATCTAACATTTCCACCTGTCAAGACCATTTTGGATCCTCAGTCTATCATCTATCATTCATTCCCAGACTTATGTTATCTAAAATTTGATAAGAATGCCTTTTCTGATTTAATTCAAATAACTGATGAAAATGTTGAAAGTGGCAGGGCCAAAATACATCAATTGTAGAGGTTTCTCTCTATATTGATACCAATCTGCTAATCAGTATCTTGCAGGATGGGTGGTTGAAGTGGGCAAGTGTAAGAGTACAGACAGATGGAGTCAGGGCTGGCTTATCTACCATGGGATAACGCCATCACCAGACATTAATTTTCCAAAGAGTAAAACCCATTTCCTGAAAAAAAGAAAATGAGAGTCTAATACTCCCATGCATTAGGCATATAATAAATTTTGTGTGTTCTCTTCCCTATAAAAAAAGAAAAAATGATTCCCTAATGGGAATCATTAACCTTATAGAGCCCTTCGCTGGGTGCTGTAGCTCCATGTTCTCCTCGGGTGGCTGCAGCCATCGTTCCAAATCCTCATCAAGAGTAGAGTGAGCTCTGTCCAAGGGCAAGTGAAGAGAATGGTGACAACAATCATTTTCTCTCTCCTTTGATAAGAAAGCATAACACTTCAGAGTGAAAAGGGACCTTAAAACCAGTAGATCCAGGCTAGCAGAGTAGCTCAAGCAGTAAGAGGACCTGCCTAGCAAGTGTGAGACCCTGAGTTCAAACCCCAGTACTGCCAAAAAAACAAAACAAAACACAAACGACAAGAAGAAACCCCAGTACTTTCACTATACAGCTGAGAAAATGAGAGCTTGGTGAGATCATGTCTATATGCACTTCTCAAGTTCTAGGACTCTAGTCTCCTACTTCTCGTACCCTCTTCTTTTCCAGGTCTCTCCCTTTCCTTCCATATGATCCAAAAATACCATTTCTGGGTATATATCCAAAAGAACTAAAAGTAGGGCCTCAAAGAGATTTCTGTACATCCATGTTCATTACAGCACTATTTATAATAGTCAAAAGATGGAAGCAGCATAAATGTCTATCGAAAGATGACTGGATCAGGACAATGTAGTATGTACATAACACAGATTATCATTCAATCGCTAAAAGGAAGGTACAGCTGAGCTGGGGATGGAGGTCAGCTGCAGAGCGCTTGTCTAGCATGTATGAGGCTGCAGATTGAATGCCCAGCACTGGAGGTGGGTGTAGAGGTAAGGGGGTTAGGAAATTCTGACACATACTACAATATGGATGGCCCTTATGGATGTGAGGCTAAGTTAAATAAGCCAGTAACAAAAAGAAAAATACTATATGATTTCACTTATATGTGAAGTATCAGAGCAGTCAAACTCATGGAAACAGAAAGCAGAATAATGGCTGCCACTGTCTGGGGAAAAAGAGGAAAAGAGGAACAGTTTAATGGGTATAAAGTTTTAATTTTGCAGCTGGGCAAGATGGTACACACCTAGAATCCCAGCACTTGGAAGGCTGAGGCAGAAAGATCACAGATTTAAGACCAGCCTGGCCCACACAGTGATATTCTAAATAAATAATAATTTCAGCCAGGCACCAGTGGCTCACACCTGTAATCCTAGCTACTCAAGAGGCAAAGATCAGGAGGATCGTGGTTCGAAACCAGCCCAGGCAAATAGTTTCCAAGATCCTATCTCAAAAAACCCCATCACAAAAAAGGGCTGGTGGAGTGGCTCAGGGTGTAGACCCTGAGTTCAAGCCCCAGTACTGCCAAAAAAAAAAAAAGATCAGGCTTGCAAGATGAAAAACTTTCTGTAGATCAGCTGCACAATTGTTAAGTGCTCCTCAATATATGATGAGGTTATATCCCAATAAAGTCATTGTAAGTAATGTAAGTTGAAAATGCATTTAATATTCAATACATCTAACCTACCCAACAGCGTAGTTTAGCAATATAATACACTGTAGAGTATCAGTCATTTCTCCTCATGATTGTATGCTGACCAGGAGCTATGGCTCACCGCCACTGGCCGGCATTTAGAGTATCATACCATATATTGCTAACCTAGGAAAAGATCAAAATTCTAAGTATGGTTCCAACTGAATTTATATTGCTTTATGATGCAACTACATCATAAAGTCAAAATATCCTAAGTTGACCATCATAAGTCAGGGACCATCTATATACTTAACACAATTGAACTATCAATTTAAAAATGGGTAAGGTGGCATATTTTAAATGTATTTTACAACTAACATTTTTAAAAACCAAAAGCCCTTTAGGAATAGGAACTCTAAGGCAGTATGGAAAAAGACTGCTTTCCCCTTCTTATTTATCAATATTAGAATAGAAAACTAATGCAATTTTTAAAAATCCTTTCAAAAGTATAGCTTTTTCTGTTACCTGTCTGTGTCCTCTTCTAGATCCCGAGTTTCTTTGATCATCCAAAGCAAACTGCTATCTTCTTTATTACTGTCAGTTTCTTTTTCTTCCAAATGCTTTTGACCTAAAAACAGTTGAAAGAATTAATTTCATTAGAACAAAAAAACTGAAAAAGCCTGCCTTGAAATGGAGTACAAAAATTAAGGCTATCAGTGGTCCCTGAAGTATGCAATGCTTCAGCTTTCCTCTTCCCATGGGATCAGGGGGCCAGGTGGCAGTCTTCAGGGCAAGCATAATTCACAGCAGCTGCTTCTGGGGTCTTGGGAGCTCTTTGGTGTCACATGAAGCTACAGGAAACCTATCGTATGCCAAGGTTCAGAGAGACAGAGGACGCAGAGGAAAGAAAGGGCACACAAAAGAAGAGGCAAGGACTGGGGCGTGGCTCAAGTGGTAGATGCTTGCCTACCAAATTCAAGGCCCTGAATTCAATCCTCGATACTGACAATAAATAAATAAATAAATAATAAAGTTTGAACTGGAAGGTGACTCAAATGGTAGAGCACTTGCCTAGCAAGTGTAAGGTCCTGAGTTCAACTCCCAGTACCACAAATAATATTAATTATAATTTTTAAAGCTTAAAAAAAGAGGAGGCAAGTGATCCTGAAAACAAACTGTATAAATTTACTTTGGGGGACCATCATCACTTCTTAGATATATTCAGATAGAGTCCCAAGGAAAATAATTTTGATGAGGAAGGGATATATCTTCTAACATATGCCAAGCATTTTAAACATTCTATCTTATTTCATCTGGTCAGCAATCCTATAACAGAAAGGTGACTAATATTTGCTAAATATTTTACAGTGTACCCAGGCACTGTACATGATAAGTAATAAGAATTATTACTCCCATTTTACAGATAAGGAAGACTGAGGCTTAGAGACAATGGACCATTTACCATACAAAAGTTAACTGGTGGAGTGAGAATTGAGGTGGAGTTGTAGCTTGACATCAGCTCATATTCCTTCATGTACCACTATGCTGCCAAAGGCAGCCTGGCAGCAAGAATCTGATGGAAAAGATCTGGATATTAGCTCACCATTTGCAGTAAAACTCAGATCGTATGCTGTGTTCTCAGGCAACACTGAGGATGAGGTCTGCTGCTGCTTCAGGTGCTCTGTCAGTACAAAAGTGGAAGGCAACTCATTCCTCCTTTCCATGTCATGCCATCCTCTAGAGCAGTGATTCTCAAAGGGCGCAGCATTGGTATAATGCAGGAATTTGTCAGAAATGCAAATTCTCAAGTTTTATCTCAGACCTACTGAATCTGGAACTCTAGCAGTGTGTTTTAAAAGTTCTTTAGGTGATAACTGATAAAATTTGTGAACTACTGCTTTAGAGCATTCCAAGTTTGAAAGGAATTCTTCAAGTAAGACAAAATCCCGAACAACACAAGATTTAAAAAAATGATGATAAATGAAGAAGATAGCTAAGAGTTGCAGAGCCCTATGTGGCAGGTACCGTTTCTGAGCACTTATATACACTAATTCATCATTAATGTTTACAATCTTCACAACAGCCCTGTGAGATTGACTGCATTATTGTCATTCCTGTTTAACAGATGAGGAAATCAAGATTAAGGAACTTGCCTAAAATCTTAGAGAATAAGTGGGAGAACTGAGATTTCAATCCAGGCAGTCTAGCTCTAAAGCCTATACTCTTGACCTCTATTTTATGCTCTCTCAACAGTAAAGCAATCCAAGTGTTTCATCATCTCTGCTTGTCTTTATGTCATATTGTTTTGCTGGCCTACAGAAAGACAGAAGGTAAAGAATAGCCATCATTTCCAGTTCCTAAAGAAATGCTCAATACACCAAGACAAGTATCTGCTAAAATCAGAGGTTGCTTTTCATTTGTTAAGTGCTTAGTGTCTTCAAAGTGCTCCTCAGAGCAGAGTAGAGAAAAGGCTGGGAGGAGCACAGCAGTCTCCCTAAGCTCACTGGCATGGTTGTGTTCTGGGCAGATGCAGGTCTGTTCCCTTCCTGCAGTATACGAAAGAGCTCTTAGGCATCAAGAGGCCCTAAAAGATTATTTAATATAATTTGAAACAAAAAATCCATTTTTATCCTCATAGAATATAGAATATATAATCCCTGTTGCTCTTAAGTGATTACCTATATCCTACGGTTCTAAAGGACCACCCCCTTTAGGTTCCTCTCAGGAGCCTAGAGTTTTGGATGTGGATCCTCCAAAAGAGCAGGTGACAGCTCCAGATCACTCTCAAGAGGTCTCTTTAGGGGAAGACATGATGATGATATACAATTGAGTGAGTAGTCCCATTATCAGGAAAAACTACTCAAGTGCCCTCTACTCTTTCTTTAAAATTACTGACCCTTTCAAAATGCAGATATCACCTAGAAGCCTGGCCCAAATGAGGGAAGGCTTCTTCAGACTGCACTGTGGTACAACAGTGTCATGAGGCCAGAGTCCAGGAGGAAGCCTGGGAACAAGGCTGCTAAAATGGGGGAGGTGGATAGAGGCTTCACATTGTGACTGCAAGGAGAGGCAGCAGGATCCAGAGGCAAAGTATCAGCTATGGTCAAACTGCAAAAAAGCTTTTAAGTCCGTGTCTTACATCATGGCCAAGGAACAAATGGTACTAAGAATCAACTGGAGCAGATCTATATATGTTGGGTAACCTCTTAACAGTTCTGTTATTTTAAGAAAAGAGATGGAAAGAGTAGGTGCTGGCCCTAAGAGCCCAATCCAACAACCCTATAGCACCGGGGAAGGATTTAAGAGAGGCAAGAAAAGGCCTATAAGGCTGGGGGGATAGGTAAGTGGTGCATGCACAGGGCCTGGATTCAATGCCACAGAAAGGAGAAAAGGTGGAGGCTAAAAGCAAAGGAGGTTCTGGCAGTTGTGACTGCCTATATCCAAGTTCATTAGGCCAGAGGACAGGTGCTGAGGAGCCTAGAGGGTGGCTGTGTCTGCCCCTTGTGTCAGACCAGTAAGTTCTCATTTTTTATGAGACATAAAACCTGAGAGACCCTGAAAACCAACTGGTACCCCTCAGGCAATTCTCTGTATGCCCCATATCAAGAATTGGACCATGGTAGGTCCAATGAGAGGCATCCCTTAAAGGTGAGGGGCTGGTCAGTCAGCTGCTAAGGAAGTAGATTGCCTGCCCCAAAATGTGTGTATAACCATGCACAATTATTACTTTTAGCTTCACCCAACTGCAAACAAAATTGAGTGGGTACTGCTTAGTCTCCACCTGAAATGGAAAATTCTGGTCATTAGGTTTTTGTCCCACAGATTTCCCTGCTCTTAGGAAGGAATTTATCCATCCTAATACCAATACCTTTAATACTTTGTGCTATTTGCAAAAAACAAAAGTTACAGGTGTCCTGGCCTGGACAACCAGACCTCAGGCCTCCAAGCAATAGCTGGCTTGGTTTGAAAAGAAGATAAGAACTCCTTTAATCAAAGAAGTTCGTCATCATAAACAATTTAAATGCTGTTCCCCAGGAGCCATTGCCTCAAACCCTTTAAGTAACACAATGATGAGAGACACAGGCCAATTATTCCAGCCAGGTTGTGGCCCATTTCATTGAAAAACTGCCCTTCTGAGTTTTGTACATTCAACTAGACCTTCATAGGGCCTTTTGTATTAGTGTTCATACCTGAGAAAAAGAAATCGTATGTTGGTCAGTAACTGTCACCAACAGGGCCAAGAAGTATATTTTGTATTGAATGTCTCTCACCAATTTCATCAAGCAGCTCCTGAGATGGTGGTGGCAACTCATCAATGTGATGCTGTGAGATGGCATCCACTAGCTCTTTAAAAAGACAAAGGGATGGAAATATCACAAGGAAACCCCTTTGTACAATCAGTATACCCTAACTTAAAAAGAGAAACCAAAGACTTAACACCCTCCTGAACCTGAGCTGCATTTTTCTAGGCTCCCTATGGACTTTACTGAAGATTTCTCACTGATAAAATAAACTAAGGGGGAAGGAAGTCTTTTACATAATAGCCCTAGCAGAGAATTCCTAATATGTGAATGGCCTTTACTTCCCCCTTTCATCTCAGCACACTTTGTTTGTGCCCTTCCCTTCCTAAGAATGTTTTAATTAGATAAGGTACAAATTCTTACTAAGAGACTGGGGCCCAATCTGCACCAGGGTTGTTGGAGGGATACAAAGATTTCAGACCAGCCAATGAACAAAAACACAAAGTGGGAGACCGTTCTCTATAGATTATCAGGCCAGGTCTCGCCCCCAAGTGCTCAATTATAATATAAATAAAACCCCTCAACATAACTCAAAAAATTCCTGTTCCCATGAAAGAAAGTTCAAGAGTTGTATCAAAGACATAAGATATTAAAATTAATGTAACAAAAGCAATATGCCCCGAGAGTTGTTAGCACCATCACAACCTTTGATTTAGAAGCTGTCTTCTAAGAACTTCCCTAAGGGAAGTCTCAGAGGTGCAGGTAAGATTTTTGTACAAAGAGCAAAATTTGGAAAATAATATAGATCTTCAACATAAGGGAATGGTTAAGCAACATATATATAGAATGAACTATTACACAACTTTTATGTATTTATGAATAATTTTTAATAATAAGAGAAAATCTTCAAAACATAGTTATCCCTTGTTATCTGCAAGGGATTGGTTCCAGAATCCCTTTCCTTGTGGATAAGAAAATCCATGAATAATCAAATTCATTATATATAAAATGGCACAGTTGTTGCATATAACCTGTATACTTTAAATCCTGTACACATTAAATCATCTCCAGATTGTTTATAATACCTAATACATGGTAAATGCTATGTAAATAGCTATTATACTATACTTTTTAGGGAATAAGGACAAGAAAATAAAAGCCTGTACATGTTCAGTACAAAAGCAATCTTTTTTCAAGTATTTTTGACATAACATTGGTTGAATCCATAGATGTAGAATCTACAGATAAGAAGATTGAATATTGGGGGGGACTTAAAAAAAAAAAAGATCGAATATATGTCATCAAGGAGAAAAAGCAGTCCACAACTGAAATACATGATCTCAACAATGCTAAAAACTTGTATATATTTTCAAAACTATAGGAAAGGTATGTGGCAAAATAGCACCTAACATTAAAAAATTAAGGTAAGGTTAAAACAATCATTTTTTTCTTTTTAAGCTCTTCTTTATTCTCTAAGTTTTCTATAATGAGTATGTTTTACTTTTATAATTAGGGGGAAATAGCATTTTTGTTTGAACCAACTGTAGCATTAAAGATTGATGGGTTATCAATTTAAGTTTCCTTAAGTTTTACTACTTCTTTGATATTAAACACAAGATACCTCTGGGCAGGCTCCTTCTCTGGGTGGCATGGGTTGTGTCCGATGCTGTGGTCATGCTAGAGGAACCAGCCCCAGCACATGCAGACAATCTTTTCTATAAGTAAGACATAGACATGGTAACTGACACATGGTGAATAAAAGGTGCATGCAGCTCAAGCATTTCCTCTTATTTTCGTAAGTCAAACTCATTCAACATGTCACCTTCTCTGGGAAGCCTTTTCAACCCTCTCTGCCTCCTCAACACTCAGAACCTACCTCTGTGTTGTATCAGGCCTTTCTCACTAAGCAATGAGCAATTTTGAGGCAGGGTCTATGATTTTCTTACTCACATTTGGATGCACATTTGACATGGTGTCTGGCACTCAATAGTTTGTTAAGTGAAAGCATAAAGTTCTTTGTCCTTTCCTCACTTCTGAGAACTTTTGTGAACCAAACGTCCAAAGAAGTTAACAATTTTCCATTGAGAGCCAAAGAAAATAATCTGTCCATAGAAGGTCAGCCAAAAGTTTTTTTATTTGTTTCTTTTTCCAATACTGGGGTTTGAACTCAGGGCCTTATGCTTGCTGGTCAGGTGCTCTACCACTTGAGCTACACCCCAGCCCAGCCAAAAAGTATTTTATAATAAGCAGTATGAAGTAAGGAATTTATGGTTTTCTTAAAGAGGCTATACATATGAAATACTAGGGAGAAAAGAAAAAAAGAAGAGATTGAAGGGGAGGAGGAGGAAAAGGTAATGCACAATTAAGTGTTTTTCCTGCAGGCTATTGGTTTAGGAATTCTGAAAAGATAGCTATCAATTAAAACTCGGGAGTAACCATGAGAGGCTTCAAGGAGGAAGTAAAATTTAGGCCTTTCAACACAGATTCAGGAGAGGAGCCCCAGGGAAGCAGTGAGAGGATCAGGCTTATTTCTTGCTTCTTAATGGTTTTGGAGAAATCTTGGCTCTTTGCCTCATTGAGCCCGTTGGGCTGATCCCATGAGTGTGTAACACAGAATTGGTAAACTTACCAGATCAATCGGTCTTGCAGGGAGAGTTTCAGAAGAAGTAAAGAGAGAATCCAGGTTCTTTGCTTTCTCTCGGACAGTTGTAAATTTATCAAACAAAGTTCCAACAGAGTCTTGACTACAGCATGATGTAGACCCTGTTTTAACCTGACATGTGATACCTTCAAGGCAGTCTTTATATCGACTGGCAGCTGAAGAAATTGACCCTGTTGGAGAAAAGTGAGCTGTAGTGTCTGAATTCATTCTTTTTTTGTTGTACTGGACTTTGAACCCTATACCTTAAACCTCTCCACCAGCCCTTTTCTGTGATGAGTTTTTTTCAAGATAGGGTCTCTCAAAACTATTTGCCTGGGCCAGCTCAAACCACAATCCTCCTGATCTCTGCCTCCTGAGTAGCCAGAATTACAGGCATGAGCTACCAGCGCCCACGGCTCTGAATTCTTTTTATTTTGGTGGTACTGGGTGTGAACACAGGACTTCACACTTGTGAGCCAGGCACCCAAATGCTTGAATCATCACACCTCCAGCCCTTTTTGCTCTGGATCTTGTTTTTTGCCCTGGCTAGCCTGGACTACTATCCTCCTACTTTAAGGTTCCCACTATCATGCCATCATGCACAGCTTTTTTCCAGAGATGGGGTCTGGCAAACTTTTTTTGCGTGGGCTAGCCTTCAACCTCGATCCTCCTGATTTCAAGTCTTTCAAGTAGCTAGGATTATAGGTGTGAATCACTGACAACTGGCTTTGGATTCTTTATATTACAAACAAAACACCACAAAACTATGCAACTATGCCAGGGATTTTCCAAAATGTTACTACACTTGATCTTAGAAGACCAAGAAGCTATCTAATTAAAAAAACTAAACTTGGTCATGGAAAAAAATAATAAAGGGAGATTAAACTACAAATATACTAGAAATAAGGATACTAAAGAAAAGATATTTGATGCTGATTGCATATTACAGTAGGAATTAAGAAATATATATAAGTATGAGGTACTGTTTTAAGTTACAAATTCTAGAGAATCCCATGTTTCTGTAGTAAATTTAATATTGCTTAGAGTACAGAAAGGGCTATGTATTTCCTAACAGCTACTAAATCACTATCACCACTACCCCGACCATGGGATTATTCTTTAGCTTTGGCCCTAAGGAAACACATTAGTTCAGGAAGAAAACAGCTATCAGGTCTGATACCTGATATGCCTTCTTTTTTGCTATACTGGGGCTTGAACTCAGGACCTTCACCTGGAGCCATTCTGTCAGCCCTATTTTTGTGAGGGGTTTTTCGAGATAGGTTCTTATTAACTATTTGCTGGGGCTGGCTTCGAACTGCAATCCTCCTGATCTCTGCCTCCTGAGTGGCTAGGATTATAGGCAGGAGTCACTGGAGCCCGGCTTGATATGCCTTCTCAGAGCTTCACAGCAGGGACTGAGTTCCTCTCCCAAAACACTTCTCCTTGGGTGTGATTACCTGGGCTGAGTGGAGTGCTGACACTAGTAGGTGCATGGTTTAATTTGGGTGTTTTGCATGTGACTGCCTTAAAAGAGCCATCTTGTTCACAGGAGATACTGGACAGGTCTTGAATGTCTACCAGTGATCTAAAGAATTAGGGTAAGAACACAGTAATTGTGAGATGATGTTTAGAAAACGAGAACAACATATTCCTGACAGAAATTTTTTTTGGTATTTTTTTTTTGGGGGGGTGAGGTGAGACTGGGATTTGAACTCAGGGCTTTGCGCTTGCAAAGAAGGTGCTCTACTGCTTGGGCCACCCCTCCAACCCATTTTACTGTGGCTATTTAAGAGATTGGGGTCTCCCAAACTATTTGCCCAGGCTGGCCTCAAATCATGATCCTCCTGATCTCAGCCTCCCAAGTAGCTAGGATTCTAGGTGTGGGACACGGGCACCAAGCAATGGGTTTTTTTGTTGTTACTGTTTTTGGTGGTACTGGACTTTGAACTCATGCTTGCTATGCAGGTGCTCTTACCACTTGAGTCACTCCATCAGCTTGGTTTTTGCTTTTGAGACAGAGTCTCACTATGTAGCCTCAAACTATGATCCTCCTGTTTCAGCCTCCTGAGTGCTGGGATTACAAGAGTATGCCATCCTAGTCTTGCTCGCTCTTACAAGAACTTTTAAATTATACTCTTGGGCTGGAGAAGTGGCTCAGGTGGTAAAGCACCTGCCTAGCAAATACAAGGTCCTACGTTCAAACCCCAGTGCTGAGAAAGAAAAAAAAGAAAAAGATATGTAGATAGATAGACACATATGTACATTTAAAAAATAACATATACTCTTAAAATCTTTACTGGCAATATGTCAGATTCAAGGATATCTCTTTAAGATTAAAGAGAGTATTAGAGAGTATCTTAAAAAGATTCTCACGTGGCTCAAGTGGTAGAGCATCTACCTAGCAAGTGTGAGGCCCTGAGTTCAAACCCCAGTACTGAAAAAACAGATATTGGGCTTGGGATGTAGCTTAGTGATAAAGTGCTTGCTTGGCATGTGCAAGGCCCTGGGTTCTGTCCCCAGCATTGTAAAACAAAAATAAATAAATAAACATACAAAAAAAGATACTAATTTGCAACATATCTCTGCAGCTAAAAATAAACTATTTCTATAGATGAAAGGCTATTTCATGGAAAATAAATTTAATTCTCACATAATAAAATTTATCATCATCATCATCATCACTGTAGTTCCTTGATTATAAGATGCTGTTAATTATAAACCACATCATCAATTTAATAACAGCTTTTGGTGAAAGAAGAAACACAAGTTAAGTGTGTTATATGTAAAGATGGAAAGAATGCAGATTCTTACAAACAAGGAAATACTGTTCTATAAAACCAAGACTTTACATAAACATCCTTAAGCTACTCTGGTGGGTGGCCATACATGTCTTTCTCCTTCAGTTCCTTTTGTGCTTCCTTTAATATCTCCTCTTGTTCACTTTTAGTACTGTGAGAGAGAAAGTAAGAAAATTAATGAATTGCCTCTGTCAATGAAGTGTATTAACTTGCTACAAGATCCCAGTGTGAGAAGCAGTGGAAAGGGCACTCAGCTTAGAAGGAGAACTGTGGGTTCTGGTTAGGCCTCTGCTACTAACTAGCCATAAATTCTCTGGCATGTCTCAGCCTCAATTCCTTTTCAGAAACTGAATAAATACTCTTGAAGGGTCAGCCTAGTTCTGAAATCAGCCAATGACTCTATATGACAGTGAGCAAGTTACTAAGAAAATCAGTGAAGCATGGGAACTTTGCTAGGAGGTGGATGTTGGAGTGAGGGGCACAGCCATGAGGTATAGCAACTAACAGATTCCACATTAAATCCTTCCATATGTCTTCACAGTTTTCATCCTTGTAACAATTCTGTGAGATCAATGGTGTAAGGGAGAGAATGTACATTTAGGGTTGACATGTGACTTTATCAATACTGCTCTCCAAAATAATTTTTTTTAGTGGAATGAAATGAGTGAAAGTGATGAATCACTTCTGAGCAGAAATTTTAAAAACCAGGTTCCATTTTATTCAGCCTCAGCAACCAAGTAAGCACAAAAATGGAACCTCCCTCAGCCTGTATCCCTGTTAGAAGGGAATTTAGTACAGAACATCTCTGGCTAACCCATTAGCCAAGGACATGAAGTACACATGAGCAAGAAAGAAACTTTTTGTTTTAAGCCATGAAAATGTGGAGGTTTCATTTTTTTTGTTTTGTAGTATAGATTATCCTGAATGACTAGCTGTGTGACCTTAGAAAAGTATTTGAACTCTCTGAACTTTGCTTTTTTTACCTTGGCTAACTAGAATAACTATACATACCTCAGAAGGTTGTTATGTGAATTAGACAATAAAGTGTGTGGCATATACTTGATACTTAGGAATACTAGCTATAGTCATTATATTTAAGGAAACTGAGGCCCAATGAATGAAAGGTGAATTGAAGGTTATTGTGCCAAGCAGTTTACATCTATTATTGATTTTTTAAAATTAAACTTTTGAGATAATTGTAGATTCACAGGTAGTTGTAAAAAACAAACAACCCCCCTCCCCCACTTTACCCAATTTCCCCCAATAGTAACATCTTGGAAATCTATAGAACACCATCACAAACAGGATATTGACAGTGATACAGTAAGATACAGAACATTCCTCCTACAAGGTCCTTCATATTGCTTGTGTATAGTCATACCTACATACATCTATTCTTTATAATTCTATCATTTTCAAGAATTTTATATAAATGGATCATTCAGTTAATAACTTGTTAGGATTGCTTTTTCCACAAAGCATAATTCTCTGGAGATTTATCAGGTTGCTGTGTGCACCAATAGTTCATTCCTTTTTACTGCTGAGTGGTACTTAATATATGGATGCAGCATAGTCTGCATAATCTTTTACATGGTGAGGACATATGGGTTTCTAGTCTGGAACTATTACTAATAAATTTGCTGTAAATATTCACGTATGTGTTTTGTGTGGATATAAGCCTTTATTTTCTCTGGGATAAATACTCAGAAATTACATTATTACTTTTAAATTCTGTATTAACTTTCTAGGGAAGGATTCTTACCCCTATTTTACATAGGGATAGAATGGAGGGATAGAAACCTGTGACCAGGGCCACATGGCTAGAATATTAGGATCTGAATACAGATAAAATATCCTTTTCATTACCCCTCTAATTCTGCTAACCAAGTCCTAGAAAGTTAAGTTGCCCAAAGCTAACTTTTATAAGATAGTGGCTAATACACTAAACAATGCATAAATATGGGGAAATGTCACCATTTAACATTGCTTCTAAAGTCTGAAACTGAATAAGGCAGTAACAGCTTATACCTTTGTATAGGTTGGAACTGAGACCCAGTCAAAATCTCAGAGTTCTTTCCAAGGATTTTTCTCATTTGGAGGTTTTCCTCACCTGAAACAATAAAGAAAATGAATTTTTACTAATCCAGATTATTGTTTTCATTCCCAGGAATTTCTCTTGTTCTAGTCTAGAATGAGAAATGATCTAGAAAAAAAGTACTTCCCTAATTGGGTTTGGATCAAGTGCTGTAGAGGAGGTTTTGCTCTGAAAGTTTATTTTCCTTCCTCAGAGGGGAGAACTATATTCTGACACTCAGAATACAATTGAGTCATTTACTAGCCTTTCAGTTAGAATCAAACAGTTATTTCTAGAGACAAATGTCGTTTTGTCTTTTCAAGAAGGCAAACTGACCCGGTTCCTGTCAACAGACACCAGGGGGCGTTGAAACCAAGAACTGTTTGTTCACTAAAGATTCCAAATAGAAAAGACCATTAGCTGCACATTCCCAGAGTGCTAACTGTGCCACTTGGCTATCCATATCATCTAAAGACGGGGCAGGAAATGAGATCTTGAGTGCTAAGAAGCTAGTTCAACTGTCTTCTGTTTTCCTTGGCATCAAGGCTTTTCAGATATCTGGGCAAACGGGCAGTATTTATTTTCCTTTCCCATCAAGTTTACAGAGTTTAGGGCAGACAAAGCAGACTGCCCTGATTCCAAATGCTCATGATTCCGTATTCCTAAGGTCCAAGTGGGCACTAGAAGACCCACTAGAACAATGCTGCTTGTAGCAGAAACCCAATCAGTGGACAGATGTTGGGATTCCTCTTCCTGTGACCCTCTTTAAAGATGATGAACATTTAGAAAGCATAAACTAATCTCTAAAAACACAATTTAGAGCTGGGGGGAAATGTAGAGATTTTAAAGTCTGACCTCTCCTTTACTTTACACAAGGGAGGAGTGGGGTCCTGGGATGAAGGGGCTTGCCTAAGGTTGTACAGAAAAAGTGGCAAAACAGAATTTAGAACCCAGTATGCATCCTACTGTACTCTGTCATGTCCTCTGGTAGGAAGGGGGATATATATATATCATAGCTCAAGGTGGAATATTTGGGAGAGAAAAACCAAAAGGGAATAAAGTAGAAATACAAGGCTTTATCACGTGCTTCAGATGTTTGTATAGAACTTACCCTGGTTTTCTGACCTATCTGCCCTACTACTTCTCTATCCCATTCAACCTTCCTCCAAATGCAAATATAGGGGCCATGCTCAGATCCACAGAAACTGATCATGGGTAGAGCCTCTGTAAGAGAAGGTGGGTGGCCCAATACTGTGGAGACTTCTAATATGTCTAAAGGCTTACCGCTCTATAATTATTATTATTATTTGCCATGTTGGGTATTGAGCTGTATCCATGCTAGGCAAGTGCTCTGCAGATAGACTACATTCCTAGATCCTTTTTATTTTATTTTGAGATAGGGTCTCAATTTACCCCGACTAGTCTCAAGCTTGTGATCCTCCTGCCTCAGCATCTCAAACAGCTGGGATTACAAGCATGAACCATCATGCTCAGCTGGCTTATAGATTCTTAAAATGCTCCTGGCAGGGACCTGAAGCAAGTTACAGTTGGAACTTGGAGTGTGCAGTGGGTGCGAGGGATTACACTCTCGTATTCTATCTGTCTACATTCAGAGAATTGAGATGTGACTGTGATCAGCTACATTCATAGTTAGGTCAACTTTTTGAGGTTTCTTTGTTCTGTTTTGAGACAGGATATTGCTATGTAGCTCAATCTGTAACTCAAAATCTTTTTATTTTTGTTTTTTTATTATTCATATGTGCATATGTAACTCAAAATCTTCCTGCCTCAGGTTACCTCAGCCTTCTGAGAGCTGGGATTACAGATGTATACCAGCTCGCTCAGCTTTAACTCTGGTTTAAAAATACATGGTTGTAAACCTTAAAAGGGCAAAAGCACACAATTTTTAACACATCTATAACAGAACCAACAGCTCATTTACATCTTGCTTTGTGGCATACCCCTGGCTGCTGGTCTAATGTTAACTTCTCATGTAATGAAAAGCTCCTGGTAAGTTATTACATAGAAACCAAGGACTCCCAAGGAGTAGGTGTTCAATGCTGTTATCTCTAAGCTAAGTTGCTAAGCAAGCAAAAGAAAATGATCGTGAAGCTCTGGCTTGTGGGTAAGTTCTAGTTTTTGTTATATCAACAACTAGTTCAATGGGCAAATCCTTCAGGTTGCTCAAAACAAAGAGAACTGTGCACCTGCTGTATGCCACCAAAGAGACTAAAATCTAGTGAGAAACTAAGGGGTAGGGAGAAGCAGCAATTACTACAACGTATGCTATAATAAAAGAGGATGTATAAATAACACGAGGTATGAATATCAAAGGCTGATGAGAAGCAGAGGATTTGTTCTAATGAGGGGAGATTTCTGACCTTCCACTTTCTCATCTGTGAAATGAAAGGCCTGGATAAGGTTATCTCTAAGGACCCTTCCAGCTTGAAACATCTGTGATCCAACAAAGTGAAGGCAATAGATTCTCAAAGGAATCTAGGGCTTACCACAGCCTTGAGGTTGAGCAAATGCACCTTGTATTCCTTCAAAGTCCTCTTCTATGGGACTTGAAGTCTACAAAATAATGAAAGAAGATTCACTGGAGGAGACATAACATCAAAAGGTCAAGAGAACTTGAGATGTGGCTGAAGTGATAGCACAGTTGTCTAGCAAACTTAAGGCCCTGAGTTTGAGCCCCAGTATTGTGAAAAACAAAAGTTGAGAATTTCTTGATGTTCTTTTTTAAACAGTGCTTTTTGCAGTGCTGGGGATCAAAACTAGGACCTCACACATGCTAGATAAGTGCTCTCCATTGAGCTATACCTCCAGTCCTCTTGAAGTTCTCAAACCTTATTAAAAATCTTCATAAGGTCCCTGCTCTCTCTTTTTCACTACTGGGGAATAAACCCAGAGCCTCCACATACCACATACTAGGCAAGTGTTCTACTACTTGAGCAATGCCCCTGGCCTCCCGAATCTCTTACAGGAAAAAGAATACTAGCTTCACAGACACTAAGTACTTACTTGTGCTTAAGTGCTGTATGTTCCCTTCAACAATAAGCCCTCCCTTTACCTGCCATTGTGAGGAGGAATTCTGTGGCTTTTTTTGTGTGTGGCAGTACTGGGGTTTTAACTGAGGGTCTCATGCTTTCTAGGCAGGCACTCTACCACTTGAGCCACTCCACTAGTCTCTTTTTTGTGTTGGGTACTTGCTCAGGCTGGCTTTGAGCCATGATCATCCTGATCTCTGCCTCATGAGTAGTTAGGGTTAGAGGTGTGAGCCACCTGTGGCTGGCTCTGTGGCTTTTCTTTACATCACTATTCCCTGCTTACCCCAATCTTCTAAAGATGTTTTGGTTACTGGGAGCTTTATTAAGAGAGTCAGAGAATGTTTTTTAAAAAAATGGTTCGATTTGTAGCCCAGGTTGGCCTGGAATTTATGATCCTCCTGCCTCAGCCTCCCTGGGATTATAGGCATGTACTACCACATCTGGCTACATGGTTCAACCATGCCTGGCTCAATATTTTTTTTATCTCTTTATTAAGGATTTCTTAATGTTCCAGTTTGCACACAGTGAAATAAAAAAAAAATATTTAAAGGATTTTTGAAAGGATTACTAAAAATGGAAAACTGCTGAGTTTTCTGAAGAGAGACAAGTGGAAATTCTAGTTTTGATGCATCCTGGGATCCTTCTTGTCAGTCAAATGCCGTGATTAATGTGTACAATCCTCCCTTTTCTCAACCCCACCTTTCCTACTGATAAAAGATTCCCAAAAGGTGGTGGGTTAGGAGGAAGGTGTGGTAGAAATTATATAGGTAAGAGAATCCAATGTACAAACAGGTTCTTGCAAAAGCTAGCAGTCTCCCAAGAAAACCTTGTGGCTCTCTCAGCACTAAATAAAGCTTGAGCCGACTGGGCTCAATTCCCTACATCTGCAGGTCACCAGCTCTTCACAGAGAGGAATGACAGTGTTCTCCACAGAAAGGATGTGTGACTCAAACAGCATGAACAAAAGCATTTTGGGAAAAAAGTACAAAGTGCTGTACAAACGTAGGACCCACAATTTTGAGATAAATCCTATGAATGACCTTCCATTCTCAAAAACCTTATTTTTAAAAAACATGTATGAAAACACTAACACATTGAAAGCTTTTATGTAAAAGCTACTTTTCTGAATAAAAATTATTTTAAAAGAATAATTTTTATAATGGAGAAACCAGAAAGTGTACTTTACCCTGAATGTGCCTTTTACCTCAAGAGCTAAATTTTCTTGAGCAGCTGAGGAGTAAAAATATTCATGGTCTGGAGTTAAAAATTCATCTGTTATGTCCTCAGAAGACTCTGCTGAACAAGTTGACTGCACAGACTGATCCTGTTAATAATGAAAGAAATTACTTTTAAGTTGCTGTTCATTGTAAAAAAAAAAAAAATCCCTTTATAGTTGGAGATAGTGTTAATAACGGGGTTGTCTAAAAGAGTTCGCCGACACACTGCGCTGGCTCTTCTTGTCTGTTTGCACCTGTGCCTTTGCCTGCCCTGCTGGTGGGGAGAGGCAGCTGTGAACTGACTGGAATAAATGTGGAGGAATGACAGACCTCAGTCTCAGCATCTCCTTTGCAGAATTGGGGAGGAGGGGAATGGAAATTAAGCAACCTTTCTACTCTAAAATTCTAAGTGAAAAGAGAGGACCTAGGTAAGCTGAGGACCAAATTTAAACATCTAATCCTTCAAGGGCACAAAGTCCACATCCAGGCATCATACTGTACACGATGAGGGTGAAGACTATTCAGAACTTGCAAGTCCTGACACTACAATTGAAAGGCATCTGGAGGAACATGATTTTTAAAATAATGCAATCTCAATAATAAAAATTAAATTAAAATATTAAAAACATCAGCACTCCCTTTTCATATCTTTTTTTTTGAGACAGGGTCTCACTATATAGCCCAGGCTGGCCTTGAACCCACAGTCGTTGAGCCTCGGTCTCCTCAGCGCTTGTATCACAGATGTGCACGACCACACCCGACTCTCCACTCTTCTTTTTCTGCTTATTTTGCTCCACTTAGGCCCTAATTACTACATGGTGAGACCATTGGTTCTTTCCCCTACCTTCAGGAATCCCTTTCCAGAGATTTTGTGGCTTATGTCCTTGGACACTGCTTTTGCCACACTCTCCCCTCCCTGAGTACTTCAGAGCTGCTCTCCTTTGCCTCTCCTACCACACTGAAATTTCTCAGACAAGTCTGGCCTCCCCTCATACCTTCCTCACTTTCCCAACTACACCAGCTTCTCAGTCTAATCTAAGTCAGTGTGCTCATTGTAGCATGTCCTTCCAGTCCTCACATGAAAGAATAAACTGTCCTATGTGAGTAGTTTGTATGATATGATTAAATTCTGCACTGTGTTCTTCAAAAGACCTTACATTTTATCACTGTTGTATTTATTCACTGTGTAATTCTCAACTGCTGTCTATATTCTTTAAATGAATATAGACTCAATGTATGTAACTGTACAGTTAGTATATCTAATTACTATAGATATTATTTTGGTGTCATAGTACATAACAACAACACAGTTGTAAGATCCTTGGGCCCACCTTGGCTCTCCAAGTCATATTACTTACGCTGTAAGATTTCTCAGTGACCCCAGATGTATCGCAACTTGCTGGAAAGGCTTCGCTATGCTCTGGCTGCTCATGTTTTCTGGAGGATGGGTGCCTGATATCTAGTGATTATAACACAGCCAGGGACAAAGTCATTCACTGATACTCAGAATGAAATAAGCAAAGGGCAATGTGAGAAGAGAGATGTGTGAATATTCTGCAAAGGGTAGCCATAACCCGTATGGTCAATTCAGTAGAAAGAGTAGAAACTATTAGTTTTGCCTGGACCCAAAATGCATCCCAGATCATCCACACTTTTGCTCACCCATTCAAAAATCATATTCGATGAAGAAGAGATTCTAAGTACCAAAAAACCCAAGCCAATAGAATTTTAATTTTTTTTTGTGGTACTGGGGCTTGAACTCAGGGCCTACACCATGAGCCACTCCACCAGCCATTTTTTGTTATGGGGCTAATCAAGATAGGGTCTTGAAGAACTATTTTCCCAGGCTGGCTTTGAATCACGTTCCTCCTGATCTCTGCCTCCTGAGTAGCTAGGATTATAGGCGTGAACCACCTGTGCCCAGCTCAAGCCAACAGATTTTCAGCTTAAGACAAATTATAATTTTAGATATCCTTTTCTTTGACTCATAAACAACTGTGAAATAATATCCAGACTAGGATGTGGCTCAAGAGGTAGACTGCTTGCCTAGCACACATGAGGCCCTGAGTTCAAACCCCAATACTACCAAAAAAAAAAAAATATCCTGACTTGATTGTAAGCAAATTACCAGATGGAAGTAAAGTCTTAAACCATTTTAACCTGCAAATATATAAACTGATGAGTATAAATGTCATCTGTCTCTAGGTTCCTCTGGCATAGACTCAACGGATTTACTTCTAGTTTGGAATGCAATGTAAAGAAACAGAAAGTAGAGAACGATGGCCCACTGCCCCTTTCAGGTAAAAAAGGTTCAATTCCTTGCTAGGTAACACCCAGGACCAGTATTAGTGTGTGGAGATTCTTTTACTTCCTTTGGACAAAGGGATCGCTTCAGTAACAGAAAAACTCATGAATCCCTGAGTATCTTTGCCTGTGGGGAAAACACAGTTGGGCATAAGGGGTATGTTGCTTTCCCTTTGAATTCAAGGTTCCCAGAAAAGTAGGAAAAGAGAGAGGATCAAGCAAAGGAAATATTCCAGGAGTTTACATATATTTTGAGAGCTGATAGATCGTGATAGAATTGACTTAACTCAGTGTTCTCACATGAACTTACTAGTGAAGCTTCGAGGTCCAGACTGTCTGCCATGCTTGTCTCTGTCACAGTCACTGTTGTCCATTTTGCCAAACTTGACATTTCCTCCTGGCTCATCTTCCCTGTGATACTCTATAACTTGCTGCCAATCCACATTTTCTGGGCCAATAACTGGGGAAGCAGGTTCATTTTCAGTCTTACTCTCCAAAATCAAACTACTCTGAGGATGCCAAGGAGGTACTGTGAGCTGCCCTGTAGCTGCCTTCTCTGCCATTTCTTTCACCTCCGCTGGATATAAGAGAAAGTAGCATTTAAAACATCATAGTAAACACTGGTAACAAGTCTTCATCCTAAAGCGATCTGTACTACTATTATAGCTCTTATTATAACAATAGTTGCCTTGTACAGCTGCATCATCCTTTACTGGCCCTGTTTGTCTTGAAGGGAAGGAGAGGAGAGAATTGATGACAGAGTAAGGAAATTTAGTAATCCAAACAATAGCCTTTGATGCTGAATTTGAGTAGAAGGAAGCAGAAAACTTACAGATGGACCCTCTTGCTGAATAAATGAGAAAATAACACTGAAATTTCCAGACTGGAGTAGTTAATAGAAAAAATTCAACATAAGTTTGCAGAGCCTTGCTAGACTACATTGAGCTCATATTTTGTGGGTATGTACAAATATGCTTGTGTTTAAAACATTCTATACTTCTACTAATATTACTAGTATTAAAAAACATAGGATCCTTTTAAGATTATAAGATAAAACTGATACAAAAGTATAATGTCCACAGACTATGTGGGGGCGGCACTGCATGCTCTCCACTTTTAAGATTTACTAAATATTTATATTGTGCATTGTTTTAATATACTTGTTATATAATACATATTTATATTAAAATAGAAGTATTTCTTACAAAGTCTAAAAATAAAAAAAGCATTTCCCTTCTACAGTCTGTTGTCGGAAGGGCTTTGTTTTTAAAAAACAGAATGATCTCATAGAAGAAAAATGTGGGAGGACACTGTCATGTTTCCAAACAGTGAAATACCAGTTAGGGGCTGAGGGTGTAGCTCAGTGGTAGACTAGTTTACACAAGTCCCTGGGTTCAATCCCCTGAACCACAAATCAAAATAGAACAGAACATATGTATACCAGATAAGAAATACACTTTGAATTTCATTTTCTCTTACAAAACCCATGACTTCATACTCACTTTCCCATTTTAAGTGTACTTCTCCACCATCTTCATTATTTCTTGACTTTGTACTATAGATTTTGGAAGACACTGATCCCACACTGATCCTAAATTTTTTTTTGTTGGGGGATGAGAATGAAGTGGATACAAATACATCAGTTTATTCAAGTTCCTGACAGAACTCAAAGCTCACCAACCCACCCAGAACCATCCCCAAATCCCTGAGCTAGTAATGGAGTTGCACTCCTACCCACCACCAGAGAGCACCAACCTCCTCATCATTCAGACTGAAAAGTCCCTTACCTGGTGGAGCCCTGGCCAGGGCTGGGTGACCCAGGCGGTCCCTGTGCATGACTTGACATCAGGAAAAGTGCACTACTTGGCTGTATGACTTTGGCTGGGGCACTGGACTCCCTAGACCTTCCCTGGCTGAGAAATGAAAGGACTGAGCTAGAAGCGCTCTTAAAAGGGTTTTTTTTTTTCTTTTCTTTTCCAGTTTCCAAGTTCAGATTTCTAAAAATGCTCTTGGGAAATTTTTAGAAGTTAGAAGCTAGTCACAAATGAAATGCAGTTTTATCAGACAGAAACCTGTCCCTGGGCTGTTACAGAGTCTGTCCTCCCCACAATACCATAAATCACAGGTGATGGTTCACATGAAGGTCCTGTTCCTGTTCTTCCATCAGAACTCTCTGGTACCAGGCCCACTGTACCATCAGTGACAGCACAATAACTAACACTTTTAAAGATGCTCTTTTAAAGATGCTGGAATCCTGCAGAGCATTCTGAGACTTTCTGGACACTGACTTATTAGACTTGGCACATGGTAATCTCTCTGGACCAGGCTTCCTCATTTGGAAAATAAAGAAGTCTTTTTCCCTCAAATATCCCATGATTATATATATATTGTCATCTATTAAACAAATTCTTCAAAAATATGTAATCTGAGACACAGATATGAATTCCCCATTGTCCAGAATACACTATTCCCTAGCTACAATAAAAAGCAGAGAAGTCAGCAGCTCTGATCAGCTTCTAAAGAACTTTTTGGCAACTACTATCAAGAATCTTTAAAATGTTCAAAGCCTTTGACCTAGCAATTCTGCTTCTGGGAATCCATCTGAGGATATAATCCAAGAAAAAAAAAACCCAAAAAACCCACTTTGTTTATAAATCACTGTGGCCTTGTTCCTAACAAAATAAAGAATGAAACAAACTAAAATTCAATTATGGGGGAAATCCAACAATTTCAAAATAAGTTTACAGTCTTTAAAAATAGCAAGGGGGGGCCTGAGTTCAAACCTCAGTACCACACACACACACACACAAAAAAAATTTAATAAAAATAGCATGGAACAATATTCATGTTCTAATGTAAAGTGAAAAATCAGGATATAAAATGGCCTACACAAGCCAGGTATGGTGCAGAATCCTAGCACTCAAGAGGTTGAGGCAGGAGGTTCTTGAGTTTGAGGCCATCCTAGACTACATAGCAAGATGCTGTCTCAAAAAAAACAAATAAGTGAATAGTTATAAAAATAAATACACCTATAATAGTTGTAGTTTTTTTTTTTTTTTTTTTGCAGTACTGGGGTTTGAACTCAGGGTTTTGCACTGTACTGCTTGATATGTGCCTACAGTCCTTTCTTTTTTGCTGTGGTTGTTTTGGAGATAGGATCTTACTTTTGTCCAAGCCAGCCTGGCCATGGAGCACCACACCCAGCTTTTTTTCACTGAGAGGTCGTCTTGCAAACTTTTTTGCTTGGGCTGGCCTAGAACCATAATCCCCCCAATCTCAGCCTCCCAAGTAGCTTGAGATAACAGTAACAGGTGTGTACCACTGTGCTAAGCTATTGATTGAGATGGGAGACTTGCAAATGATTTGCCCAGACCGACCTTAAATTGCTGTCCTTCCGATCTCAGCCTGAGTAGCTAGGATTATAGGAGTGAGTCACTGGTGCCCAGCTAGAGTTTTATTTTGTATTTGGAGGGTTTTTTTTTTTTTTTTCAGTACTGAGCTTTGAACTCAGGGCCTTGAGCTTGCTAGGCAGGCAGTCTACCACTTGAGCCATACCTACAGCCCATGAAGTTTTATTTTTTAAACCATACAGAAAGCCTAGGTTAATAGATAGCAAAACGTTACTTTTCTTTCATCTGTTTATTTTTTGTTGTTGTTCTTTTGGAGGAAGAGGGTGAAGCTGGCCAAGGATGTAAGTGTATATTGTTCTTTGTCACGTAGTAACTCTATACCCCATCTGTTTCTATAAATGACATGAGTATCAAACCTGTTTATGCCAGTTAGGTGATTCTTTATAATTCTTTTCATCAATGTAAAACACATAGATCTAAAACATCCTAGCATTTTCCTTCTTTCTCCCTAATATACATACATATTTACCAACATAAAAGGAACAGGAAACTATTTTGAGATAGGGTCTCCTTATGCATCCCAGGTTGCCTAGAACATTTTATGTAGCCCAGGCTGGCCTCAAAGTTGAGATTTACCTTCCAGATGCTGGGATTATAGTCATGTACCACCATGCCCTAGTTATTAGTCTCAGTCACCATTGGAGGTGGAGGGCAAAAAGTTATTTTTTCTAGAACTGACTTCAAAGCTATGGATTAGTGCTGCCATTTACTCATACAAAAGAAAAATCAACACTGGTACAGTAATCTATCTTGAAAAACATTTATAAGAGATAACAAGTATCAGCAAGGATAGGAGAAAAGGGATCATTTTCTTGGTTGGAATATAAATTAGGATAGGCATTAGAGAAACAGTACAGAAGCACCTCTAAAAATTAAAAGTGAGCTTGGTACTTCACACCTGTAGTCCCAGCTACTCAGGAAACTAAGACTAGAGAAACACTTGAGCCCAGGAGTTTGAGATCAGCTTGGGCAACATAGTAAGATGCTGTACCAGAAAAAAAAAAAAAGGCACAATTGCTCATGCCTACAATTGTAGCTACTTGAGATGTGGAGATAGGAAGGATCATGGTTTGAGGCCAACCTGGACAAAAACTTAGACCCCATCTCAACCAATAAAAGGTGGGTATGGTGGCTTGCACCTGTGATCCCAGCTACATGGGAAGTGTAAATAGGAGAAACATAATCTAGGCCAGCCTGGGCATAAACACAAAACCCTATCTAAAAATAACTAAAGTAAAAAGGGTTGGGGTATGACTCAAGTGATAAAGCACCTGCTTAACAAATACAAGGCCCTGAGTTCAAATCCCAGGTTCAGAAAAAAAAATTAAAAAGAAAACTACCAATGATCCAGCAATCCCATTACTGGTACATATGCAAAGGAACTGAAATGAGTTTGTCAATGAGATATTTACATATGAGATATTACAATGAGATAAATATGGGAGTCCATATTTATCCCACTATTCGCATAGCCACGATATGAAATCAGCCTAGCTGTCCATCAACAGGTGAACGGATAAAGAAAATGGTGGCCACACCTATAATCCTAGCTACTCAGGAGGCAGAGATCAGGAGGATCGAAGTTTGAAGCCAGCTTGGGCAAACAGTTCATGAGACCCTATCTCGAAAAACTCTTTACAAAAAAAGGCTGGTGGAGTTGCTCAAGGTGTAGGCCCTGAGTTCAAACTCCAGTACTGCAAAAACAAAACAAAACAAAAAACAAAAAAAAAAAAAAGAAAGAAAGAAAATGTGTTATCTGGGCTGGCTCAAGAGATAGAGCACTTATCTTGCAAGTGTGAAGCCCTGAGTTCAAACCCTAGTACCACAAAAAAGAAAGTCTAGAAAATGTGAGGTGTACGTGTATATATAGTGTATAGATGTACATATACACAGTGGAATACATTCAGTTATTAAGAAAAATTAAATCCTGCAATTTGTAACGTGGATGAACTTGAGGGGATAGATTTAGTGAAATAAACCAGTCATAGACAAATACTATATGATCTCACTCATATGTGGAATCTAAAAATGTTCTTGGCAGGGGATAGTGGCACATGCCTGTGATTCTAGCACTCCAGGGGCTAAGGCAGCAGAATCACAAGTTCAAGACCAGTCTGGGTCACATAGCAAGACCTTGTCTCAAAAAAAAAATTACTAAAAAAAAAAAAAAAAAAAAAAAAAGGTTGACCTCATAGAGGTAATAGAGTGGTAGTTACCAGGGGCTGCAAAAAACAAGAAAACACTACACCATAAGTTAGGTGTGATGTGCATACCTATAATTCTAGCACTCGGGAGGTGGAGGCAGGAGGATCATGAAATTGAGGCCACAATGGGCTACACAGTAAGACCCTGTCTCAAAAAGAAAAAAAAGCCAGGTATTCTATGTTCCTGTGTACCAGAAATTAAATTAATTGGAAGACAGGGTTATTTACTTAGTTTGTTTATTCTTGCAGTACTGGGGTTTGAATTCAGGGTCTCACACTTGGTAGGCAGGTGCTGTACCACTTAAGCCACTCTGCCAGCCCTGTTTTTGTGTTGGGTATTTTTGAGATAGGGTCTCACAAACTATTTGCCTGGCTGGCTTTAAACCATGATCCTTCTGATCTCTGCCTCCTGAGTAGCTAGGATTACAGGCATGAGCCACCAACACCCAGCCTGGCATTTCTTTTTATAAGAAAAATTACACAGTTTTGGATAGGCAAGATTTTTGCTTTTCACAAATTTTGTCTGATTAACCTGCTTGCCACTTTGCCTGTGATATCTCCTGTTAAGTTTCCATTACATTGCTCTCTCCACTGGCTTGGCAGAGAGAACCTGCCATGACCCATTTCTGTGTTGCTTTTCTTGATTATTCACAGACCCTTTGTCACTAGACACATGAAGATCATTAAGTGGCCTCGGGGCAACATAAGAGTCTAAAGCACAGTGACACAAAGAGCAGTAAAATGTTACCCACCTACTATTTTGGATCCTGCTTCCTTCTAAAGTGTCCTTGGCTCCATGAGTGGCCTGAAATTGTTCATTTGTGTTCTGTTTTCCAGAACCACAAAGAGTTGGCAGCTTAAAAAACAATAAACATGTTTTAGTACTTGATGAGGGAGTTCTCTTCACTCTCACAATCTATTTGGAAAGCCATTTTTGCTAAATGTGTAGAAATAATCAGACCTACTCTGGTAATTTCCCTTTACTTGTTTCTAAAAACCCATCTCTTACCTGGAGGCCTTTGCCCAGAAATGTTGGCCCCAAGAACCCAGTCCAGACAGAGTATAAGGGAAAATGAGCAGACAAAATAGAAATCAAAGATCCAAACAGTTTACTGAGCATTTTTCCCCAGCACTAATATGAAGGCAGCAGATGTATGGCAGAAGACCTGGGGGCCTTGGGTTCTAGGCTAAGCCTTACTCATACCACTCTAAGAGAGGCTTGTACTTCAGTTTCCTCATCCATAAAATGGGGACAATAATACTTATCAGTGGGCATGCTATAAAAATAAAATATGATAAAATAAACTTGGTAATACTTTGAAAACAGCAGAAGAAAAATAAATGAAAGTCTACGTCCTTTATGAAAAAGAGACAATTTGGAACATGCTCATGCAAGTTTTAACATAATTTTAGCAATAAGCATTTACATTTCCTAGTTACTTGCAGCAAATTAGCAATGAATGTAGGGTTTGGGGATGGCATCAAGATATAGGAGAGTGAGAGAAGGCATAAAAAATGAAGTGTGAGCTCCAGAGGCCTTTGAGTAAGGGCAAGTACTCATCAGGAGGGCTGAAGATAGGCTAATGATAGGGCACTTAACTAGCAAGCTCCAGGCCCTGAATTCAATTCCCAGCACCACAGAAAATTTTAAATGAAAATAAAAATAAAAGAAATGAATTTTAATTGAAAATTCACTTGGTAGAAATGCCTTATCTCCTGATGGTGCTAGAAAGAGGGCAAACTTTTTAAAGAAAAAATAAAAATGGCATAATTGTTTTATTCATAGTCACATATACTAGAAGATGCTTTCTAAGGATGGTTGCCATCAATTCCCTCCCTCCCTGTCTTCTCTGTTACTCCTCCCAGAAAGACTTAGAGTCTATTTCCCTCCTTTTGAATCTAGACTGGCATTGTGACTAACTTCTCTCTCTCTTTCTCTCTCCCTTAGTTTGGGGGAGGACACGGTCTCACTCTATAGTCCAGGCTGGTATCAAACTTGTGATCCTCCTGTGTCAGCCTCTCAAAGGCCTCATGACTTTCTTTGACTAACAGAAAGCAGTGGAAGTGACACTAGGCCAAGACTACCTTTTAAGAGGTCTGGCAGTTTCAAGTTTCACTTGGAAAGCCAGTCACCATAGTGTAGAGAAACTTGGATGAGATTATTGAATGATGAGATGCCAATGCAGAGAAAGGAGCTATGTGGAGGCTCCAGACATGTTAAGTGGAGGCTTCTTGGGCCTCCTTGCCCAGCTCAACCTCGAACAGAGTGAGTGACTGCAGGTAATGCCACATGGAACAGAATCATCTAAGTGAACTCTGTCAAATTCCTGACCCAGAGAATTATGAGAAATAATTAAATCCTGTTATATTAAATGACCTTTTTTTGGGTGGGGGCTATTGTTTTACAATGCAGTAGATAATCAAAACATATTTTAAAAAAGTGGCTCACACCTGAAATCCCAGCTACTTGGGAGGCAGAGATTAGGAGGATGGCAATTCAAATACTGTCAGGGCAAAAAGATAGCAAGACCCCCATCTCAACCAATAAGCCAGGTGTGGTAGTACACACCTGTGATACCAGTGATGTGGGAGGCCACAGGCAAAAGGATAAGATCTGAGGCAGGCCTTGGGCAAAAATGCAGGATGCTATTCAAAAAATAACTAAAGCCAAAAAAAGGCTGAGGCATGGCTCAAGTGGTAGAGCACCTGCCTAGCAAGCAAGCACAAAGCCCTGAGATCAAAACCCATTACCATCAGAGAGAGAGATTATTTCTAATGGTTTTCTAGTAAATCCAAATTTTCAGTGGAAACAGATATCAAGTCTAAATAAAGTCTTTGTGCTTTCTTTATATAAAAACAATGATAGCTGGGCATGGAGGTACATGCCTGTAATCTTATTACTCAGAAGACTGAGGCAGAAGGATTGCAAGTTAAAGACCCATAGTGAGCGCTAGGCCAGCCTAAGCTGTACACAAAGAAAGGAGAGAAGGAAGGAGAGAAAAGGAAAAAGGAAAGGAAAGAGGAAAAGAACAAGGAAAGGAAGGGAAGGGAAGAGAAGAAAAGGGAAGGTGAAAGCAAAGGGGGAGGGAAAGGGAGAGAAAAGGGAAGAGGGGAGAGGACAGAGGAAAGAAAGGGGAGAAGGGAAGGGAGAAAAGAAGGAAGGGAGGGAGGGAGGAAGGCTGGCCCTAACTAGGAGTTAGGAGGGTCCCAACTAGGTTAGACCTTAACAGTAGCACTACAAAATAGAGCTAGAGTCATCTGTACTATGGCAATTTTTTTTTCAGCACTGGGAATTTGAACTCAGGGCCTCACACTTGCAATGCAGGTGCTCTTACCACTTGAACCACACCACCAGTGATTTTCTTGTGATGGGTATTTTCAAGATAGGGTCTGGTGAACTATTTGCCCGAGGCTAGCTTTGAACACTCATCCTCCTGATCTCTGCCTCCTCAGTAGCTAGGATTATAGGCACCTGGCCTGTGAAGATTTTTAAGAGTAATAAAACCCGGTGCAAGCTGTCCTACTTTTTAGCACCATGGGCCATCAATTTTAAGCAATTTCAATAATATAATCCCCCTTCCAGTGGGGTGGACCTCTCCTACCACACTCCCACTTGGTAACACCACTGGATCTCAGGAAGTGTAAGTCACTGAGTTTGAGCTTCATGCTGTGTAACATGATGGAGTTGATCCATGTCTTAAGAGGTCTTCTAGCTCAAGAGGCAGCCAGCTCTCTGTGAACTTGTTTAAATTCATCATTCATTCCCTCAGTCCTTCAGTGATCATTTAAGTATTTTGTATGTGCCAGGTACCATGCTAGGTGCAGGGGCACAGAATGAGTTAGACCTCAACCCTATCCTTAAATAGCTCACAGAGGAACCACTCTGCAACATCACCAGCTTTAAGCAGGCCTGCCAGGCCAGCTTCTAATGTGTCTGCTCACCTCCACTGAAGTGCCCTCTTTGAAGAACAGGTCCTCAGACCCCCACTAGTGTTGGAGCCACTTATGGGCTTAGCTGGGGGCTTATTCATTATTATATTCCAGGGTCTAATATAGTCTCTGTCTTTATAAATGTTTTTGAATAAATGAATGAATAAAAAAATGAATGAATAAGCTATTTAGAATGGGGATTAATATCTGTCCAAAATAGCTAATACAGTAAGTTGAACCATGTGAAATAGCTAATACTTGATTATTTTAGCCTATAAAACAAACTTCATATGGTTCAGTCTAACACATGAATTTGCAGAGAAGGATATGGGCTGTGCACTGAGTCTGGAATAGGGACTAAAGATCTACCTTGTAATAGAGGGGGATAATCTGATTAAAGCATTATATATGCATGTCTGAAATACCCAGGTGAAACCCTCTTGAACAATCAATATACACTTTAAAAAAATGAAGGATAGGAAGGTAAAACAGGTCCTGTCCAGGGATGGGTACCAGTGGGAAGGGGGAAGGTAAATGGAGAGGGTAAAGGATAAACATGGTGGATGTATTTTGTATTCGTGTATGAAAATGGAACAATGAAACTTGTTGAAATTGTTCTAAGAAGGGGAGAAGGGTAATGAGGGAAAACAATGGAGGAGGTGAATCTAATTAGATATATCATAAGCACACATGTAAATGTTACAATGTAGCTCCTGTACAACTATTATATGCAAATAAAAGTTACAAAAAAAAAAAAGTAAAAGAGGGCTGGGACTTAGCTCAAATTGTAGAGTGCCTGCCCAGCAAGCATGAGGTCCTAAGTTCAAACCCAGTACCACAAAAGAAAAAAAAAAAATCTGCTTCCTTTACTTCCACCAATGCCCCTTACCAGCAGCATTCATGCACTTAAAAAAAAACCCAAAACTACCTACCTTGGGAACTGGGGACATGGCTCATGTGGTAGAGAGCTTGCTAAGCAAGCTCAAGGTCCTGAGTTTAATCCCTAGTACTGCAAAAAAAGAAAAAAAAAATCTCTACCTTGGAGTCCCTCCTTGAGGCCTTATTTCCAAAGCCAAAAGGACCTTTCTTTGAGCTAATTGCATTTATGTGTCTGTACTTGCACATAGGTCAGAGACAATGTTGGGTTCCACTTAGGCTGCTCCCTCCTCCCTCTTTCATTTACCTGATGGCTTGTCCCTGACTGGTCCTCAGTGCTTTCTTCAGAGACTTGGGTTAAAGGTTTCCAACTATGCCCACTTTGTTTCTTAGGCCTTTTGCCAAAATGTCCCCCTTCAAAGTCTCTCACTGTTCTTGGAGACCTGGATAGGGTTGGGCAATTGCCACTGGCACCCGGCTGCTGGCCCTGTGATAGCTGCATGACAGGAGGAATGTAGTTCAAAGATGGAGGACCTATAGCTGAAGGTAAGTCATGGACATTTGCAAACACTCTTGAAGTTTCCCACAAAGTCCTGCGCTCCTCCTGCTCCTTCTGTAACAATTCAACTTCATCTAGTTTCTGCTCGATACTCCTCAGCAAATCAGCATTGTGGTGCATTAACGTCTGTGAAATCTTTAGGTTCAGCACACACTTACTGATGTACTCCTCAGTCATGGACCTGCTGCTCACTTTTCTCTTCTCTTTTCTGGTTGGCTGAGATATTCTGAGTGAACCAAATGAATCATTTTGCCAATCCCAGTCCCCAAAAGACAACTCTTTGTCAACTTCTGAAAAGCTCTCCTCTTCATTGCAAAAACAGTGCACCTCTCTTTCCATCTTATCCAACTCTTCTTCCAGGGATTGCAGCTCATCTACCTGGTTTGGTTTCTCTTCCTCAAGAGATGAAGTAGTTTCTGGGCACTCATCATCTTTATAAGCTCCCATGTTCACACAGCCTGAGTAAATTTCATTGATTTCAAAGCTACAGAGGCTTTCCTGACTTGCATTATGACTCTTCACCTCTTCTGCCTCAAATGGAGAAAGAGAAGGAAACTCCTGGGCCAGACTTGGATCCAGGGACTGAGGAGCTAGTGTTTCCTCAGTGGGAGAAGAGCAGTCCCTTGGTGAATGGAGCTGACTGTCTGTTGAAAAGAACAGCAACATGCAACTCGTTAAAATGCTGACACTCAGTAGGTAAGCAGCCTTGTTTTTGGAAAAAAAGCTTTTATTTTCCAATTCCCTTCCTAGGGACGTGAGATCCTAGTGGAAAACCACTGGATATACTCTATAGAGGGTGAAAAGATATTTCTAACATAGGTGACAGTTCATGGGGTGAGACAGAAACCTGGGGGCAGGGGAGGGGGACAGCTGTTAAATCCTAAGAGAAACATTCTAAGTTTCATTTACAGTGTGTTCAAAACATATTTAACTATCAGAATATGCAAATTACAGATACCTAGATCTCAAGGACTACACCAGTAACTTTCTTCACATACAAAAGAGTGTGACTATTTGTGTCAGTTAGAGTTATGCTCTTAGTGAGCATCTGATAACAGTAGTCAAGACATAGCCCAAGAAGCAATTGCATCATGGGAGGAATAAATAACAAAAAACAATGCCAAAGCTGATCTATACACCATTCTTGGTTACTGGTGAATAGCTTGCAGAAAATGGGATGAAGGAGACAAATAATCAGAGCTTGGAGGACCACTCTGAAAGCTCCCTAAACCTTGTGTTCTCATCTGTAATGGGATAACATCAAGCTTCATGACTGTAAGAACTTTTCCAGCTCCAAATGCTAAGGTTTTCAAGTGAACTAACAAGCAATAAAAGTTGTAAGGAAATACTGAATGTAAACAAATTGTTTCTAGGTGACAAAATTAAATTGGTAAGGAATTTTCTCTGTACTGTTGCAAATTTTCTATAGTGAGCATACTGTAGGGATTTGTTGTTTTGTTTTTGAAACATGGTCTTATGTTGCCCAAGTTGGCCTTTAACTCCTGGGCTCAAGCAATTCTCAGGCTTCAGTCTCCAGAATAGCTGGGATTACAAGAGCATGCCAATATGTCTAGCTAGTTAGTAGATAGTTGTTCTAAATATTTTTAAATAATTTTTGTTAGTTAAATAATTAGACAAATTCTTAAGAGTAATCATTCTAGAAACAAATTCATAACTGCAAGAATCTTGATTTTCCCTAGCATAAGTCACATGTACAATTTGGAGTAAGTGATTAGTTGCAGCTCATGTGACTCTCAAAACTACTGTCAATATGATGCTTAACTCGAGTTATGGGCATACCCATTTCCTTTAGCTCTTTGATTTCCAAGTCTGGGACTTCTTTTTGATGGTCTGAGGTTAGTCCCAGATAGATATTGACATCGTTTTGGGGTTCATAGGGTTCATATCCCTGCACCTTGGGGCTCTCAGCTGGCTGAGTTCTCTGGGATCCAATAAACTCCTGTAACACAGGAAATATTGTCAAGGTCATATTCACAGTCATCTGAATGTCACTGGTTATTTTAAAAGCTCAGCTATAAATCAGATAAATCCCCTCTTAAATCTTATTGGATAAACTGACTTATAGTCCTAACTAGCTAATTTGTTTTCATTTCATTCCTTTGAAAGCAGTAATAACCATCATTCATTGAATCTTCACTATGTGAACCTCCCCAGGTCCTCTCTTCAATTCCCTGCTGCCCTCATCAAGTTAAGCAGTTAGGCTTTTTTCAGAAATATTGTATAATAAAATGAGGATTTCTAAAACGTCTTAAAACTGAATCTCTGGCTTCTTCTAGGTCTCTAACTCCCTACTTCCCTGAGAGAGGTAAGCAGAAATAAACTCCCAACAACTTCCAGACTTGCCTTTAGATCATTCTTCAGAATATACCGGATATCTTGAAGGTTCATAGTTCGGTCTCTCTGCTTGACTTGGATGCCCGACTTAACAATGTCGTAGTAAGGTTTCGGAAGCCTGACATCCGCTTCTAAATAATTTCCCAAGACTATGGCTTCTTTAACAACTGAGCCATCTAAGCCATTCCAGGGTATGTTGTCTATAAGGAAAAAGTCACAGGAAGGAGTAACATTAAAAAAATCAGATGGGCTGGTGGAGTGATTGAAGTGGTACTCTGTGTACGTGTGTGTGTGTGTGTGTGTGTGTGTGTGTGTGTCTGTTTTGAAGGAATCCTTCTGTCTTCAGTTATGTTACTACTTCACATTAGTCCTATAGGTTTGAAAGAGCTTTCATTTCTTTCAGGTGACACTGTTTAAACATCTACTGGCCCTGAGTGTATTTAACTTGATATTCTCAGAGGCCAGTCTTCTCTTTAAAGAACACATCACCAGGCTGGCAGAGTGGCTCAAGTGGTACACCACATGCTTAAAAAGTGCAAGGCCTGGAGTTCAACCCCTAGTAACACAGAAAGCGAGGGGCACATCACAGAGCTCCTTAAGTATTGACACCAATATTCAGTTTAAAAACTTTGCTGCAGGCCTGGAGTGGCTCATGTGGTAGAGTGCTTGTCTAGTAAGTGTGAGGCCTTGAGTTCAAACTCCAGTACTGCCCCCCACAAAAAACTACTTTGCTTCATAGGTTAAGGGTGTAGCTAAGTGGTGGAGGTTCTCGCCTGGTATTTGTAAGGCCCTGGGTTTGATCCCCAGTACTGAAGGAAAAAACAACAACAACATAACTTTGCTTGGGTTAAATGCAGTATCATTAACAATCAGATATATAGGTTTTGCTGAGTCTTAAAGAGAAAGATAGCTGGGAGACTACCTTATATCTTATACACAGAGGCTTCTTGAAGAGATCTTTTTCTAATTCCCACATTTTTCATAAAACTAATTCCTGGGCTTTGCTCAAATGTGAATGTGCTCCTTGATCACCTGTCAAAATCTCTTGCATGATCATTGAATAGCTGTAGATGTCCGACTTCACCGTGGCTGCCTTCTGAAAGATCACTTCTGGTGCAGCCCAGTTGTACAGCTGGGTGGGAAGGGGTACTCGAGTCAGATCCCTATGTACACCGCTGTCCTGGCTAAGGAAGGAAACACACAGGCAGGGCTCATGTCTTAAGGGGTCAACGGATCACCACACAGAATATCCAAATGTTTGTCTGTGAAGACTGGCAGTTTCCTTAAGCTTCTGGAAATGTAACTAGAAACTGAGCTAACCCAATACCTGCAGATTTTGTTCTGATACCTACAATTCCTTACCATCTCGATCTACTCTGGCCCTTTCTACCCCTACACCTCATCTGACTACTTTCTCCCACTTACCCACCCAAGTCCCAGGGGCCTTTTTTCAGCTACTCTGGCATGCTAAGCACATTACCACTACCAGTCTTTGTATCAGCTACTCCTTCTGTCTGGGATGCTCTGCCCACAGATCCTAGAGTGAGTGGCTGCTTCCAGTGACTGAGGTATCAGGTTGAAGCCTCCTCAGGGAACTATTGTCTACAGAATACTTACTATCTGAAATACTTTGTTCATTTTATTCTATTATATTTCCAGTGTTCTAAATCACTATATCCTCAAGTGTACACTTGATGCTTGCTGTTAAATACTCTTTCAAGACAATCCCCCCACTTCCATCCAGGGCTGGAGGTGTGGCTCAAGTGGTAGAGTGCCTACCTAATAAGTGCAAAGCCTGGAGTTCAAAACCCAGTACCAAAAAAAAGAGGTTCTGCTGGAAAAAAAACATTACTTAGGAAAGTTTTCTCAAAGTCTGAGAAGCCTATCCTTATGTCAGACCAGCAAAGAACTTATTGTCTCTTGCTTTCAAAAACTTAATTCTTAATTATCAACTCATCTGATTAACATAATAGCTGTGGGCAAAAGTTAGAACTAACTTCACCCTGAGGCTTCTTGTTGGTCTAGGCGACATTTAGGATGCTCTGACCTAGCTCTTAGGGGGTTTGGTAGGGAAGATGAAGTATTCAGGCAAATCAGTGATAGGCATTAGTGAAGTTATAAAATCTACTACTGGACAGTTAGGTGTGGGTTGGTATAGTATGAACAGCATGGATATGCATGCAAATTTAATATGCAGATATATACATTTAATATATGAATTTGGTGTATTCATTATATAATTTTAGGTTAATACAAATTATATTAGTGTTATAGAAAAAGCAATAGTTGATGTGTGTATGTGTGTGTGTGTGTGTGTGTGTGTGTGTGTGTGTGTGTGTGGTGCTGGTGATCAAACCCAGGGCCTTATGCATGCTAGGCAAGTGCTCTATTATTTCTACATCCTTAGACCCCAGAAAAAGCAGTGTAGTATTTTATTGTCAGAGATAGATTCTGAGACGCTAATATGCAGCTCTTCAAGGTGGAGGACAATTCTCCAATGAAACACCCCCTCAGGCCTCTCAGGCTTGTCTAAAGCTCTGGTAAGGAACAAGTCACTTATAACCAGAATTCAAATCCTTTCTTTGATTTCCTCTTACCTTCTTCTCTTACAGTCCTTTCTTCTTTCTCTGTTAAAGCTAGCTGGGAAATGGTGGGAGAAAGTAGTTCAGTAGTAAAACATTCACCTAGCATATGAGAGGCCCTTTGTTCAATCCCCAACACAGCACAGCACTTAAAAAAAAAAAAAAACTTAGCCGGGAGTAGAGGTCTTCTTTTCTGGCTGTCACTGAAGGACAGATGTTTTCTGGTGTCAACATTTACATCATTAAAATTACATTTGGCTGCAGCTATGTGACACCACTTGTAAGATCAATTCCATCTCTAAAAATTACATTAAGGAAGAGCTGAAAAATAGGAAAATCTGCTGTACCATTTCTACACTAAGAAATGGAGTGCTACCCTTGATGCTGACATTAAACAAACTAATGTGTCCAATAGAATGTTATCAAAAATAAGTGTAGAATTAAAAGCCATTTTGAATTTTTGGATCATCAACTCATGTTATCAGGTTAAAAAGAAAGGTATATTAGCTGGGCATGGTGTTACATACCTATAATCCCAGCACTTGGGAGGCAGAGACAGGAGGATCATGGGTTTGAGGTCAATCTGGACTACATAATGAGAGCCTATCTCCAAAAAAAAAAAAAAAAAGAAGGAAAAGAAAAAGGCCAGGTATAGTGCCTCATGTCTGTAATTCCAGCTACACAGGAGGTGGAGACAGTAGGATCACAGTTCAAGGCCATCGGGGACAAAAAGCTAGTGAGACCCCCCACCTCAACCAATAAGGCTGGGTGTGGTGGTACGCACCTATCATTCCAGCTTTGCAGGGGTATTAACAGGAGGATCACAGCCCCAGCAAAAACAAGAGATCCTACTGAGAAATAACTAAAACAAAAAATGCTGGGGGTATAGGTCAAGTGGCAGAGTGCCTGTCTAGCAAGCACAACGCTAAGTTCAAATCCCAGTAATGATGCAAAAAACAAGATGAAAGGGATGGAAGTACCCTCTACATTATACATATGAAGAGAGCATAATGAAACCCATTAAACACTGTTTGAAAGAGAGGGGGAAAAGGTAGAGGAGTAATGGGAATATAATGAAGGGGGTGAACTTTTCAAGGTATATGCTTTATGCATGTATAGAATTATCACAATGAAATTCCCTCATATTATTCATGTATGATAAATAAAAAATAAAATAAAAAAAAAAAAGAGAAAGGCAGGCAAGCTGTATGGCTAAAACAACTTGTTCACTGACATTTCTGCCTGACGCTCCATTCTGAGGCCAAGAGAATTCACATCTTTCTACCATGCCAGAGGGGCTTTCAGTGGCCATAATTACCTCCTTTCCTTCACTTGGCTGGCTGTTGACCCCAGTTTCTCAGTGCATTTCACTTCTTTTCTTTCCATTTTGGCTCCCTGGTTCATTAAATACCCTCTTAAGCTGATCTTCACACACTCAACCTCCAATCCCTCCAGCCTCTGTGGTCTGGAGGCATTTTCTTCTGTCTGACTGACCCCAGCTGTGCCCCTAACCAACCAACTGGGTCAGTTATCATCCCTTCATCCCTCTGGGTCTCGGTTTCCTCATCTATAAAAGGAGGAAATATAGCTCAGTGGTAAGAGTACTTGCTTAGCATTCGTGAAGTCCTGGTATTGATCCCCAGCACCATCATTTAAAAAAAGAAGCATCCATTGTCGGTGGCTTACACCTGTAATCCTAGCTACTAGGAGGCAGAGATCAGGAGGATCAAGGTACAAAGCCAGCCAGGGCAAATTCTTGGGATTCCGTCTCAAAAATACCCAACACAAAAAAAGAGCTGGCAGAGTGGTTCAAGTGGTAGAGCACCTGCTTAGCAAGCCTGAAGCCCTGAGTTCAAACCCCAGTACTGCAAACTGCATGTGTGTGTGTGTGTAAATAAGTAAGTAAATAAATAATTTAAAAAGAAGAAAAGGGCTGGGGACCCGTGGCTCATGCCTGGAATCCCAGCATCTTGGGCCAGCCCGGGCAAAAAAAGTTTTCAAGACTCCACCTTGACAGAAAAAAAGCTACATGTTGTAGCTCACACTTGTCATCCCAGTTACAGTTATAACAGGAAGGGTAAAATAGAAGGATCAAGGTCCAGTCTGGTCTGGGCAAAAAGCAAGATCCTATCTCCAAAATTTCCAGAATTTAAAAAAAAAGGAAGGAAGGAAGGAAGGAGGGAGGGAAGGAGGGAAGAAAAGAAGGAAGGAAGGAAGGAAAGAAAAGAAAGGATACAGTTGGGCCAGGTCATCTCCAAAGCTCTATTTTCCTCCAAGGGTCACATTTCCATGACAGCAAAAGCAGAGGAACCGACAGGCCTTCTTTCTTCTTCTCAACAACAGACAGCATTCTATCACTGACCAATAGCTTCAATTTTGTCAGCCTTCCGGAAGTCTTTGGTGGTATTGGCTATTGATATAGCTAAGTCCAAATCCCTTAGCTTCCACTGCTCTGGAACACATAGCCAAAGCAGTCAACCCTGCTCTGGACCATTTTGAGTTTTTTTCTTCATAAAGATTCATCCAACACTGGCTGAAGACTTACTATGTAGCAGGCCTTAAGATGGACTGCTGAAGATAGTGCTGAACAAGACTGGGCTCCTGCCCTCTGGGAGGTGGCCTCCTAGCCAGAGCTGACACACTTGTATAGCAACAGCTATAGTACACTTCAGTATTAAGGGTAAGGGGAAGAAGATGCACAGTGCCTCAGGATGAGGGCACCAGAGCAGGCTTCATGAATGTGCTGAATTGGTCTGAAGTGAGTTTAAAAGGAGAACTAGGCACGAGCAGGTATTCCAGATGTGGGGAGCAGCACTGAAGTGGCTGCAAATGACCAGGATGTTGTGGGAAGGGATGAAGTTGACACTGTGAATAGAGCCCCACATGGGAAGCGTGCCCATCTGGAAAGACTTTCACACCTGCAAAAAGTGCCTGGAATTAATCTTGCAGGAAATGAGGAGACCTTGAAAGGTTGTTTTTGGTTTTGGGGTTTCTTTTGGTACAGCGCTGGGGAGTGAACCCAGGGTCCCACATATGCCAGGCAAGCTCCTTCCCTGAAAGGTGTTTTTTTGCTTATTTGTTTTTGTGGGACTGAGGCTTGAACTTAGGGCTTCACACTTGCAAAGCACTCTACCGCTTAAGCCACACCTCCAGTCCAATTGCTCTGGTTATTTTGGTGATGGGGTCTTGCAAACTATTTGCCTAGGCTGGACAAGAACCATGCCTATCATTGCTTTATGGGGCAGTAGCCTGGATAAGTTCTTGGTGACCAAAGAAGGGCAACTTTGCCTACTATGCACTTTATCAAAAGAGCAGGGAAGTAGCCAGGCACCGGTGGCCCACACCTGTAATCCTAGCTACTCACGAGGCAGAGATCAGGAGGATCAAAGTTTGAAGCCAGCCCGGGTAAAATAGTTCACGAGACCCTATCTCGAAAAAACCCATCACAAAAAGGGGTGATGTAATAGCTCAAGGTGTAGGTACTGAGTTAAAGCCGCAGTACAAAAAAAAAAAAAAAAAAAAAAAGAGAGAGAGAGAAAGCAGGGAAGAAGGAATCATGGAGGTATAGGGGTCCATACTGCAATGTTTTTGTGGAACATGGTGAGGTGAGTGCCTTTCAAGATTACTGGTCCCTGAGTACTGGTGATTCACACCTGTAATCCTAGCTACTTGGGAGACTTAAATTGAGAAGATTGAGGTTTGAGGCCAGCCCAGGCAAATAATTCAAAAGACCCCTTAGCTGGGTGATGGTGACTCATGCTGGTAACCACAGCTACTCAGGAGGCAGAGATCAAGAGGAACAAAGCCAGCCTGGGCAAAATAGTTCACGAGACCCATCACAAAAAATGGCTGGCAGAGTGGCTCAAGGTGTGGGTCCTATGTTCAAACCCCAGTACCACAAAAAAAAGAGAGACCCCCATCTCCAAAATAACCAGATCAAAATGGACTGGAGGTGTGGCTTAAGTGGTAAAGCATCTGCTTTGCCAGTGTGAAGCCCTGAGTTCAAACCCGATCCCACCATGGGTTTTCCTTATACATTTAGCCTGGTCCATCAAGGAACTTTCTGGAACAGTACTTGTGCCAGTTCCTTCCAGTTCTATTTAGCATTTTTGTTACTGTAGTTATACCTTAGATTCTGATGTAATTGTGGGTTTTTTTTTTGTTGTTGTTTTTTGTTTTTGCAGTACTGGAGTTTGAATTCAGGGCCTACACCTTGAGCCACAATGCCCTTTTTTATGATGGGATTTTTCGAGATAGGGTCTTACAAACTATGTGTCTGGGATGGCTTTGAACCACAATGTTCCTGATCTCTACCTCCTGAGTAGCTAGGATTATAGGTGTGAACCACCGGCACCCAGACCTGGTGGAACTTAACTTTTATTATTATTATTATTAGGATATATTCATTGTACAGGGGGGATTCATTGTGACAATTCCAAATAGGCTTATATTGTACATTGGTTACACTGTCCCCACCATCTCTCCCCCTCAACCCCTCCCCACCCCACTTTAAGCAATTGCAAGAGATTCCATTGCTTTATTTCATATAGATATATGAAATATATCATGTTCCTTTATCACAATATCCCTTCGTTCACCCTCCCCACCACATACAATGTACCAGTTTTACAGTCCTGTCTTTTGTTACTAATTTCTAAGTCAATGGAACTTGGAACTTTTCTTTATATAAGAAAATTATGACTTTGTTCAAAACTTGTTTGAATTACTTATTTCTTACCTGATTCCACTTCACGTTCACTTATGGATAAGCCATTTTACTATTCCAGGGCCTCAATTCCTGGGGGTTTGGACTTAAGTGGTTTCTTAGGATTCACAGTTCTGTCACGTGCTCTAACTGAAGGCATGGACTCTTCTGATATGCATGGATCCTTTACTACTTTTGTCTATGGAGAACTTTCATCAATATTCTCAAAGTGGTTTGTGCTCCACAAAAGGTTAAGAACCATACAACATCAGTTGACCTTTTCAATCACAAATAGGACTTGAAAATACTCACTTTGAAGCAATGTGAGAAAAGTTGAGTGGGGAAGCAGCATTCCTTGTGAACTGAGGATAGACAACGTCTCATTATTTTATCCTCCATGAGGCATAACCCTCCCCCATTGATGGAACATTAATCTTCCTCCGTCTTTCTTCAGAATGACATTTGCAGTCTGGAGGCATGGCTCAGGTGGTAGAGCACCCACCTAACAATCGCAAAGCCCTGAGTTCAAGCCCCAGTACCACCAAAACAAAACAAACAACAAAAAAACCCTACATCTAGAATAACATTTGGGGGCAATAAAAGTTGTCTCTGACATTTTTATGAAAGAATAAAAGAAAAAGAAAAAAAAAAAAACTTCCACAGCATCCCAGTGGCTTAGAATAAAATTCAGACTCCTCACCAAGGCCCACAAGACCAAGCACAATCTTTCCCCTGTCCTCCTTTCCAGGCAAAGAGACAAGAAGCACTCAAGTCTGAGGAGGTGAGAATCTTTCACTTTCATTCACTTGAAAAGCATGCAGAGTGCCCATTGTGTGAAGGCCTGTTCTAGGCATCTGGGATACAGCAGTGAATAAAACAAAACTGTCCTCACGGAGCTTTGCATCTAGTGAGAGAAGTAAACATACAGAATACTTGAGCAGCAAAGACCTGCCGCCTGCCAGTGCCAGGGATAGTTGGGGAGAGACAAGGAAAAACAAACGTAGATAGGGCTAAGCAAGGCATCTGCCCAGTGGCAGGGGCCTCTCACAGAGCAGAAGCAACACTGAGCCAAAGACTCAGAGCTGTGGATGGCATCAAAGATATGCAGGAGAGATCCTACCTCCTGAGTCACGGGGTCAGCCCCCAACTCTCAGGAGGTCTTAGACTCCAGCCCAACAGGAAACTAAGCCCATCACCAGCCCTTGAATGAGGGAATTGTTTGAGTTCCTTTCTCACTGTGCTGAGCCCCTTGAGATCAGGGAACACCTTTAGAACTCCATGGAAGGTATAAGAAATCCATCACGTTCTCCCTCCTATAGCTATGGCAAGTTTCCCTGGCCTTCCTGCAATAAGATGAGGCCCAGTCACTGCAAAGCAGGGGCCTTCCTGAAATAAGGTGAGGCCACTTCAGGGTGGCCTCAAACCCTACTGTGCACCCCTCCATACTTTCTCTTGCTTCCTGGCCAGCAATACAAAGAATGGAATGAAGGACTGAAACCTTGGGGAGACAGAGCCACTGATATGGAAAACATGTAACAGTGCCACCTTTGACACACACATTAGATTGCAAGATAAGAAATATACCTCAGTTGTGCTAAGTCACTGAAAATTTTAGAGTGGTTAGTTAGAGCCTTTCACACGTTGGCTAACGTGGGCCCTTATATGTTAGTTGTTTATTAAAGTAAGAATGTCCTGAGCAGAAGCAACTTTCTCAAAGCCTTGGCAGATAGGTAAAGCATCTGAAAAATCTCTTCCACCACTGATAAACAGTAGTGGAATTTCCATCAATAAGAAGGACTCCTGTCCACATTAAGTTCTGTCTCTAGTTCCAGCATTGAATGCTTGTATACAACAAGCATTTGCATGCTAAGACCACACAGCGAGCATGCTGGTAGGACTACTTGATTTCATGCCAGTCTTTTCCTCATTATGTGCATTTATATAAGTGGTGTTCCTATTGTTTGTTCCTTTGTTATCTATAGTTATGTCTTAGTTTCTCAATTATTAGTAGGGCTGCTCTAGACTTTGGCTTTTATTATACACTATAATCTTTATTACACTGTGTAATCTTACCCTGCTAAAAACTGACCTTCTGAGGCTAATCAGGTAGCTAAGCCGCCTTGTTAAAATCAGAGGCTGTGCTGATATATATAAAAAGGCTGCGTTGTTTTTTCCCTCTTGTAGAGAAGACTTGGGCTTTGCTAACCTCCTTTTCTAGCTTTTTTCTCTGTCTCTGGGTATGGTTAGTTGGTTGAGGTCACTTGTGTCTCACTACCAGGTGCATGGTCTGTTACTTCTCCTCCAGGTCACTTTCATATTAAAATTTTATAAAATTATATAAAAATAAGAGCTTTGTTAAGCGTTTGAACATGAACTTTAATGTCAACAGTGTGAGTTAAAAGAATTTCTTATTAAATAATGGAAGTGGGTTTTTTTATGTAAAATGGATTAAGTTCATCTGGATTTAAAATTACTGATAGTGATTTATAAAACATTTAAATAAACTGAATTAAATTTAAAAAAAAAAAAAAAAAAAGTTCTGTCTCTACAGCAAAGGTCCTCAAGGGAGACCCTCTTCAGGAGGAAGCCACACTAGAGGTTGTACCCACCTTTCCATCATGTACTCCAGATTGGTCAGCCTAGCTTCCCCCGTGGAAACTATGTGGACGGCATAGGAGCTGAGGGAGCGGTGGACAAACCCCCAGGAGTGCAGGTATCTCAGGGCATCAGCGACCTGGAGCAGTAAGTGCACAATCACTTCCATGTGCAGCACTGGGAACTGCGACCTCTGCAAGTGAGAGAGAAAGCACAGGAGCAGAAGGCAAAAGCCTCCTGATGCTATAGGATCACCTGTCATTTCCAAAGTATTTTCACCTAATTCTCACAGCCACCTGGGATCCCCATTTTAAGATAGGGAACCTAAAGCTCAGTGAATGTAAGTCATTGACCTACAGTCCCATTGATCCTAACCTGGGCTCCTTTCCTTTAACTGTGCTGAAGGGCAAAGGAGAACATTCTCAAAGCCTGGTATATGCATCCAGGCTCAGCTTTAATTGTCAGTGGAGGTCTGCCTACTACCACCAGTAGATGTTCCTTAGCCCCTCCCTATCCAAATCCATGCTGCTGTGAGAAACTAGAATTTCAAAGCACCCTGAAGGATGCAGAGAATCAATCCATCCCTATCCCAGTCATATGAACTAGAAGATAATCTTAAAAGGAGAGAAATTCCCTCACACCAATGTAGCTGCTCATGTGTCTACTCCCCACAAATGGCATTTTAAGGCAATGCCCTTAGCCAGGGAAACAAAAGGAAATACTAATACAGAATTCTAATAGGAGGTCTTTGGGCAAGAGTAATGGCATCTGGGAGGAGGGCCCTTCCTTGAGGGTCTCTCTTCACTCCCACCCCGTGTGGGAGTAAAGAACAAGTCAGGGAGAAAGAAAATCCTTCAGGGGTTCTCTGAGGCCACATGCCAGCCCAAAGCACACTTGCCAGGGAATCTGTTGGCGATAGAGGATATTCCCCCATCCCAAAGAAATTTGAAAGGTGAAAGGAAGTAATAAGGATCTCTACATAAGCAAATAAGAATAGAATACAAAATATAGAAAATAAATCCAGTGACCAATGGCTTGGCTAGAAAAGTTCTTCAGTGGCAGAACTGAGAGCTGGGTGTGGTGGAACATACTTGTAATCTCAGAACTCAGGAGGCAGAGGCAGATGGATCAAGAATTCAAGGCCAAAGATGAAAAAAAAGAAAAGAATTCAAGGCCAACCTGGGCTACACAGTGAGATCCTGTCTCAGAAAAGGAGGGGGGAGGGCAAGGAAAGGCTGGAGAAATGGCTCAAGTGGTAGAGCACCTGCCTAGTAAGCATGAGGCCCTGAGTTCAAACTCTAGTACTACCAAAAAAATAGCCAGATACAGTGATGCACACCTGTAATCCCAGCACTTGGAAGGCTGAGGTAGGAGGATTGTGAATTCACAGTCAGATTGAGCTACATAGAGGCCAGCCTCAGCTCTACAGAGAAACTCTTGCCTCAAAAAACCAAAACAATAACAACAACAAAAACAGGATTAACAACAAAATCACATTATTTCCAACCATTTGCTTATCAGCCTAAAGTGGCACATTATATAGCCCCCAAAAGTAAAGGGATTTAGAGATTTATCTTCCATGCACAAATGCAGACTCTGCATCAGAACGGGGGAGAGAAAAAATGGGGAGGGCGGCTAGGGGGAAATCTGTTGAACAGCTATTTACTCGTTCATGGAGGACACTAAACAGTGTGCCGATCGTGACACGCTCATATACAAGGCGGATCTTCTCCAGGTCCTGGGACAAGCATACGGCCATAAGCTGCAGCAGGTGGGGGTGTCGCAGCTTGCTACAAAAGAAAAGAAGCTTCAGAAGGGACATAGGAGAACATGATGAAACATGGGTTTTGTTCTTCTAGGCCCTTTGAACACATTTTAAATAAATACCATTTGAACACAACAATTTTCTAGGAAAACAGGATGGATTTGGGAGGGATCCTGAGGGCTTAGAGTCATCAGTGATAACAATGACAATGTTGCTAAGAGCTACCTATGTTGCATACATCATCTCAGATCTAAGCAAGCACCTGCAAGAAATGCATCTTTATAACTCAGTTTAGAAGTGTGGTAACTAACCAGGGGCTGGGGATGTAGCTCAGTGGTAGAGCACTTGCCTAGAATTGATGTGACCAATGTCAAGGAAATGTCAGGAACTTGCTTGAAGTCACACACACCACTCAGTCTCATGTCAAAGCCTACATTATGCCTACACATCCTTCCAGCTCCCTTGGGTCATTCAGGTTGACTTCTTCAAAAGGATGGATTTGGCCTCTCTCAAGATGCCTCCTGCACCAGCTGAGTGGTCTATTTAGGAGACGGCTCAATGAGCCTGGGTCCGTTCCAATGCCTTGGTGGCTCTGATGTGAAACCATGAATCCAGAGCCTGACCCAGAAGGAGCTAACCCTGGAGCCCAAAGAAACTGAGACCTGTGGGCATGTCCTCAATGGTAAAAATGTGGTTCTCAGACATCTGGATCTCATATACTGCTATGATCTATGAAAACATGGTCTCCAAATGAACACAGGGCCCCAAATGGGACAGGCCTCAGGTACTGTAGCAGGAAAAACAGATGGGCCTGGAGACTGGACGTCCAGAGATATGGGTTACGGAACAGTTGATAGAATTGAGCCCTTCATTATCACAATCCCTACCACCTTGGACTATTGATTAATTTCTCTTTCTTGGCAACCTTTGGAAGTCAAGTCAACAAATTCCAACAGTCAGGAAATACTGAGGCTGAGCGGGGCTGGTGCTCCATACCTAAAAGACAATGCTACACATCCTGGGAACTGAGTCTGTACAGTACTGACTTTGTGACAGGCCTTGCACTTGGGCCTCCTTACCTGTTGTGCTCTTGCTCAGCAATTAACAAGTCCGCCAGCCTTAGCCTGCTACAGTTAGGATGAGTGAGAAGATTCAGCTCCTTCACTGTGACTCTGCTCCCATTCCACACAAGGCTATTAGAACAGGAAAGAATGAAAGGAGAGGGGCTTGATGAACCAGTCTTCCCAGCCCAGAGCAAAGGAATGGAGTTCACAAGAATCTCTAACTCTCTTGGAATGGCTGGGTCCTCCCTCCCACCACCTCCAGTTTCTTTTCTTTTTTTTTTTTTTTTTTCATTTTTCTTTTATTATTTATATGTGCATACAAGGATTGGTTCATTTCTCCCTACTGCCCCCACCCCCTCCCTTACCACCCACTCTGCCTCCTCCCTCTCCCCCCCCCAATACCCAGCACACCTCCAGTTTCTAAAGCACTTTAGGGAGTTAGGTGGGGTGTAGGAAGTCACAAGAGGATTCAAGGGACAGAGTGACTTGACGAGATTTGTATTTTAGAAAGATAATAATGCCATCAGTGTGGAGAATGGGTAGGGCAATGGCGGTCCAGAGAATTAGAGACCAGTTAGGAGACTAGACTAGATGAAAAACAGTGATTACTTGGGCAGAGGCAGCAGCAAACAGGACAGAGAAGAGAGATGACAAAAAAATTCATGGCATAGGTAGAGAAGGGGAGAGACGGCTTTGGGAATCTGGCAAAGGACTTTTTAGAAGGGTGTTTCTTCTAAGCAGGAAAGAAGCATCAAGGTTCTAGGAGTCAAGAAACTCCAGGACAACCCTTGTAACCCTGTAGGGGCTAGGTCTCTGAGGACTGAGCACACCCCAGGATTTGTCATATTCAAATCCTACTACTGCACCCTCTCCTGGATTTGGCTGATGAAAGCCCCAGCTGATGCCAGGGCCACCTTCTACAGGGGCCCTTGTACTCGTTGACCTATATCAGAGGCAAGACAATCACCACTAAGCTGCCTCTAATTCTTCAGACAGCAGAGAGGTTAAAATACTATAAGGAGTAATCTTTCAGAACAATAGTTCTCTCCCCAGATGATATTTGGCAATATCTATAGACAGTCTGGTTGTCACAACTGAGAGGGCCATAAGGCACTGTTACTAGCACTTAGTGGGCAGAGACCAGGGACATGACTAAACATTCTACAATGCACAGAACTGCCCCCAAAACAAAAAGTCATCCAGCCAAAACTGTCCACAGTAAGAAACTCTGATTTAGACATGTTCTAAGTGTTCTCTTGTGTTTGAGAGGAAACAAACATAAGAAAGATATGTGTAGCCCACTTGTCCCATGGGAGCCCAACCTCCACCGGCCAACTCCCACTTACTTGGTCATGACCATGTAGGGGCCACTGAAGAAAGAGAAGGTGGGTTCGTCATCAGCTTGAATCACTTCCTTTTCTCCAATTACTGGAAGAGATCCTAGATAGGCAAGCTGTGTCCCCCCTGTGAGATAAAACTGAAACCAAAGCATAGCCTCAAATTGTGAGGCAAAAAGAGGAAAAACAAAATACCTCCAGAATGTCAGCTAACTAAAAATCATAGCAGGTGGTACTTCCTAACTTGCTGGATACCTCTATATGCACTGTATATTATTGGGGGTTTTTTTGGGAGCTGAGTCTCACTATGTAGCCCAGGCTGTACTTGAACTTCCTATCCTTCTGTCTCAGCCTCCCCAGATGACCACCATACCTAAATCAAGGTTGAGTAATATTCTTTCCCTTTTACTAATGAAGTAACTGAAGCTCACAGAAAGAAGTGGGAAATTAAAGATAAAGAAAAAATCAAAACAGAAAAAGAAAGGACACCTCTCTGAAGTGCTATGGATAGGACTGAGGGGTCTGTTGTTACCTCTATAGAACCCAGGCCTGTGTACAGGCAAAGCCAAAATTCTAGAGCTGGAGATGTGAATCAGTGGAAGAGCACTTGCCTAGCATAAGCTAGTCCCTGAATTGATCCCTAGCACCAGAAAAACAAAACAAAACAAAGCAAAACAAAACAAAACAAAAATCCAATATTCCTTCTTCCTCCCCCATCCCAGGCTGCCTTGGCACAAGGGACAGAATCTTGAGCTGTTAGCAAACATCACTCATCTATCTACCCAGCACCATTTTACAACAGTCTCTGACAGGTAGAACTAAGGACCCAAAAGGTATTTTTTGTCCTCAAAACATTCCTTAAAAGCATTCCAACCATGCTCATAACCCATGGGAGGGCACGGTCTTCAGGAAGTAAATCCATGGGATTAGTGCAGCACTCTGCTTCTCTGTTAGTGGAGAATGTGTCTGTGACTTCTAAGGAGAACTAAAGTGTAACTTTCTAAACTCCTTAAATCTAGCCCATGGTCATTCAAGGTAGTTCTCCAACTTTTTTTTTTTTTAACCATCTTTCGGTAAGGACAGGAACAGTAAGAAATACCTTTCCCTCAAAAGGGCAAGGAAGCTGGCCTCCAGTGGCTCCAGCCTAAAATCCTAGCTACTCAGGAGGCAGAGATCAGGAGGATAACAGTCTGAAGCCAGCCTAGGCAAATAGTTCCCTATCTCAAAAAAACCCAACACAAAAAGGGGCTGCTAGAGTGGCTCAAGGTATAGGCCCTGAGTTTAAAACCGGGTACTGAAAAAAAAAAGGCAAGGAAGGGCTGGAGAAATGGCTCAAGTGGTACAGCACCTGCCTAGCAAGTGTGAGACCCTGAGTTAAATCCCAGTACTACCAAAAAAAAAAAAAAAAAAAAAGGAGTTGAGCAAAGGTGAGAGATGGGGTCATTAGACTCTCCAGTTAATTCTGCAAACGTTGGTGGTTATCAGTGGCAAATCTCTTACCTTCCCAAAGCCAAAACTGTAGATATTTTGGGCAGAAATGACTCCAGCTTTAAGCAGTCGATTAGGGGAACCATTAGGACTTCTAGTAACATTTAAAAGGAAAAAAAAAAAAAACCAAAACAAGAATTAATTACTCATATCCAGACAAACAATACTATAAACTAAGTTTTCAGAATGTGTAGTTGGTTTTGTCTTTATTACTTGACCTATTTTTTTGAGACAGGGTCTCTCTACGTAGTCCAAGCTGGCCTGGAACTCACTAGCCCAGACTTGCCTTCAGCCTATCTCCTGCCTCAGTCTCCCTGGGATTACAGGTGCATGACACTATGCCTGGCTGATTTATTTATTTTTTTTATTTATATTTTTTTTTCTTTTATTATTCATATGTGCATACAAGGCTTGGGTCATTCCTACCCCCTGCCCCCACCCCCTCCCTTACCACCCACTCCGCCCCCTCCCTGTCCTCCCAACCCCCTCAATACCCAGCAGAAACTATTTTGCCCTTATTTCTAATTTTGTTGTAGAGAGAATATAAGCAATAATAGGAATGAACAAGGGTTTTTGCTGGTTGAGATAAGGATAGCTATACAGGGCATTGACTCACATTGATTTCCTGTGCGTGTGTTACCTTCTATGTTAATTCTTTTTGATCTAACCTTTTCTCTAGTTCCTGGTCCCCTTTTCCTGTTGGCCTCAGTTGCTTTAAGGTATCTGCTTTAGTTTCTCTGCATTAAGGGCAACAAATGCTAGCTAATTTTTTAGGTGTCTTACTATCCTCACCCTCCCTTGTGTGCTCTCGCTTTTATCATGTGCTCAAAGTCCAATCCCATTGTTGTGTTTGCCCTTGATCTAATGTCCACATATGAGGGAGAACATACGATTTTTGGTCTTTTAGGCCAGGCTAACCTCACTCAGAATGATGTTCTCCAATTCCATCCATTTACCAGCGAATGATAACATTTCGTTCTTCTTCATGGCTGCATAAAATTCCTTGTGTATAGATACCACATTTTCTTAATCCATTCGTCAGTGGTGGGCATCTTGGCTGTTTCCATAACTTGGCTATGTGAATAGTGCCGCAATAAACATGGTGTGCAGGTGCCTCTGGAGTAACCTGTGTCACAGTCTTTTGGTATTCCCAAGAGTCAGGTATTGCTGGATAAATGGTAATCAAGTCTAGCTTTTTAAGTAGCCTCCAAATTTTTTTCCAGAGGGTTGTACTAGTTTACATTCCCACCAACAGTGAAGAGGGTTCCTTTTTCCCCGCATCCTCGCCAACACCTTTGTTGGTGGTGTTGCTGATGATGGCTATTCTACAGGGGTGAGGTGGAATCTTGTGTGGTTTTAATTTGCATTTCCTTTATTGCTAGGGATGGTGAACATTTTTTCATGTGTTTTTTGGCCATTTGAATTCTTCTTTTGAGAAAGTTCTGTTTAGTTCAAACATTTCTTTAATTGGTTCATTAGTTTTGGGAGAATTTAGTTTTTTAAGTTCCCGGTATATATTCTGGTTATCAGTCCTTTGTTCTGATGTATATTGGCAAATATTTTCTCCACTCTGTGGTGTTCTCTTCAGTTTAGAGACCCATTTCTTTTGATGATGGAAGCTTTTAGCTTATATGAGTCCCATTTATCTATGCTTATCTCTTTTAGGTTGCTGTGCTGCTGGGTTGCTGTGAGAAAGTTCTTACCTATAACTACTAACTCCAGAGTATTCTACTTTCCTGTGATCACTTTAGAGTTTGGCGGTCTGATATTAAGATCCTTGAGATCCATTTGAGTTAATCTTGGTATAGGGTGATATACATGGAATCTAGTTTCAGTTTTTTGCAGACTGCTAACCAGTTTCCCAGCAGTTTTTTTGAAGAGGCTGCTATTTCTCCATCGTATATTTTAGCTCCTTTGTAAAAGACAAATTGCGTTATGTTGTGTGGCTTCATATCTGCGGTCTCGATTCTGTTCCTTGGTCTTCATGTCTGATCTTTTTAACAGAGTCTAATCTTTTTTACTTCCAGAGGG